GAACCAGGGCAAAGAAATCCGTCTGCTGCGGCATTCGAAAAACGAGAACCCTGCGCGACTGTAAAAATACTAATTTCTTAGTTGATTGCCTGCCGATAGTGTGCATAGTACAGTGCGTGAAATAATTATAAGAAGGGTTCTAATTAGGGGTAGCTAATTACAAATACTCATACTCAGACCTAACATTTATTAAATGCCAACTTAGTCATTTATAAAATAAAATCATAAATATACATATGTAGAATGTTTGATTAATTATACGAGTATTTTGCACCTCAAAATTTAAATTATTCTTCAATTTTAACATGATCTTTTAAAAACTTTATTGATACTTTTACTAAAACTTAATTTTGTACGTGTATTTTCAAATTGTTCATTAATTTTCAAACATGTTTTTAAAAATGATTCAGAATTTTACATTACACAAATACAAAAGCAAATTTAAACTTCATTTTACTTATTAAATTTGTTTTCTCAAACGATTTCTGATATTATGTTTGATTAAATTCGTAGGTTAGTATCCCTTGGAGTATGTATCTTTCTACATACGTGAATGATGTGTATATTATACAAATTAGCAAACATTTAATAATGGCACCCCGTTTTCCCCCCTTTTGCGCCCACTTTTAAAGCTTTAAATGGCAAGAGCACGTGTGGGCCGATGGCTTAATCATTTTCGGTGGTTTTTCGTTCGTTGATCGCTAATTGTTATTGCTGCCAGTTGATGCACTTGTGCAAACAAATGCGTGTCCATATATATATATAGGAATATATATGAATTTGTTGTCAGTTGTTGTTTAATTAGCAGCAGTCGTCGTCTGTCGTTCAGTTGCGTAAAATAGAGTGCAAATAAATACCCAGAATCCCAGGAGTGACGCATTCGATGGCAAAGAACGGGTGAAAACAATGGATATGGGTGGGATCTACACCTAACAATCTGCTGCAGAATACCGGGGATATTCATTCCCAGTGCCTCCAGTTATTGTGAATCATGTGACACTTTTGCGCAACCAGATGTTTTGATGTATCGTATCGTATTATTGCCAAGCGAATGAAGATTGCTAATTGAAAAACAGTTGAGTATTTGCTTTAAACCATGCCGCATTTGTGGTAAATCAACACTGAAAACGCGACCAGTTGCTCTATAAATTGTCAGGTGGCTCGACAGTTGGAACTCAATCATACGGGAAAAGGCCAAGGGATCCCTTCTACGGATCAACCATAAGGATCCTTGAGTTTGTGTGTGCGAATCGTAAAAATCGTAAAACAATTAAGGCAAGTGCAAGGGCAAAACAACAAAAAAAACGACAAACAAAACAAATAAGCCTGCTAACAAACATGTGACTTATCGCATTTGGTTGCTGGAATTCATTTCCTGGCGACGCCACTTAATTAACAAGGGGCACTGAAAGGGGTGCACTGCACTTGAGGGATGAGTAATAAAGTTTGAGTTAAGATCTTAAATGTCGGGAGAACTTCGGAAGTCTCTTAGTCACGAGATTGCAATTTGAATAACTTGAAAACGATTCATACTAGAAGCATATCATTAAGCACATTAGCATGAATGTACAGGCAAAACAGTTAAGCACTCAAAATTGCATCAAATAACTTTATGTAATAGATTTATCCCTTAGAGTGCAACGTATACCTTTTAGTTTGTGGCTCTTAAAAAACTACTTAATCTACTGCCGGTTAAGGACATTAAATTTAAGTTTATGTGGAGTTTTTTATTGCTTGTGGTCATTAAACTCGGCAAACTGCTTTAAAGTAATGTCATGTACAGTACATGGCAAACAAAAAAACGTCTTGAAATAAACATTTTATTTAGTATTTAACTATTCATTCAAACAGCTTCAGAATACATTGAAAATCTTTTAAAGACCACTTGTGCACTTTGTGGTTGACCAATAAAACCAATAAAAAAAAAAAAGTAAAGCAAGGACACAAAGTGCACTCAAAAACGATGGCAATCACAGGTAATAATAATAATAACAACACAGCTGTAAAAACGATTAATCAAACAAGCTGGTCGCAAATGCGCATCAGCAAATTGTCACCTGGTGGAAAGCGGGGCCTAAGGCTACACATAGAAACAAGATATGTATCATATTCAGGTTTGCAATTTAACAATCCCATATTGAATACCAATTTGAAAAAATATTTTCCAAGCATCATGCTGATATTGAATAGATAGTACCCCTAAATATTAACATATTGATAGGAAAACCATTATTTTAATTTTATTTTTATAAAATCATGCTGATATTGCCGTAGATATCCCTTCTTAATCACCTTCAATCTTTAAACGTGTTCAAGGTAGTATATATTTTTAAAATAAATCCCTAATGAATCGACAAGTTTTTTGCTCTGTGTAACAAATGCCTATGGCTTTTCGAGTGGTTTTTCGGTGCGTGACAATGGCTGGGATTAGGTCGCTGAATAAAGGCTTATTTAAGGCAAGGCCAAATACCAGGCCATATCTGAACGGACCCTGGGCGTATGCGTAATGTACTTATCTATCTGATATCTACATACATATATGTACATATATATGTATATCTACTATAGTTGGCTTTTGGGGCAAGTCATGGTACGATAATAATGGCAAGTGTCACAACAACTGGAAACAGCATTGAAAAGCTTTGATTGCTTTTCGCACGATGTTATCAAACAACAAACAGTCGTAATTGATCGTGAGATGCGTGAGAAAGAGACGGGGCAATACAGTAGGCACTCAGTTATATCAACGCATTAAAAATAGATGAATTCCTAATTTTTCGTTTTTAAATTTTTTTTAAAAATGATGCTTCTAGAGGTATATTGTAAGAAACGCGCCCTAATTTAATAATTCTTTTATATTCATTTTTTTAAAACAGTAATGAAAGCACTGCTTAAAGGTCGAGAACATTTTTTGTAGGTTAATTACGTTTTAAGCCTTTCACACCAGGAAACTTATAGAAATAAAAAAAATAAATTACTAATTAATTAAAATAAACAAAATGACTAAGGTTGTTTTCTTATATTTTTTGTAGGTACAGGTTCACTTTATGGAGACGTCACTGTTCGTAAGTGTTTTCAGAGCCTATGAGTCATGGGTATAATTCGTCAGATATTTCTGCATGTTCATGCTGATAGATCAGGAAAGTAAAATGATATGAAGTTTTCGTTTTTCGTTGCTTCTCTCTTTCTCTTTCTCTTTGTCCCGCTTTATCCCCTCTATCCTGACATCACGTCAGCCAGAAGCTTTGCAAGTTGTGGTGAAATTGCTGCCAAACATTTCTATATCCCAGTGTTTTTCGGCGGGGGGTTCTTTATCTGGGGCGTTACTGGAGAGGAATACCCCATGAACGATCGGTCAAACGCGGCGTATGAGCAATCTGCTCGCGTGCTAGTGACGTCACTTTCGCGGGCAAACAGTGACTCGACAAATCCAGAAATTTTGCGGGGCCTAATATCGGGGTGATTAGAAACCCATTTGAGCTCCATTTTTCCCCCCATTTTTTGATTGGTCACGCCAAATGACTGAATACGAGAATGCCAGAAGTTTCCACCCAAGGTCGTTTTTTTCCCACCCAAAAATATAAAAAAAAAAAAAACCGGATAAAGGGCAAGTAAAATGGGTGTAAATCGCATGCACATAAAAATCAACGAATGTCAAGGCTGCGACCGCAACAACTATACACCATTAAATCCAAATACAACAAAGTCCGGTGTGTACTTAAAATCGAATTGCCCGGTAATTACGGCACACATAGAAAATCAATACAAAAAATAGTTGGCCGCCCTGGTAATTACGCATTTACAAAATGTACCTATAGACACAATTATTAACAATCGGGGTCACAAAATTAGTAAGCAAACTAGTTTTAAAAATAAAAACTCTAGAAGTTCAAAACAAGGTATCTGGTAAATCTATGTACAGGTATAATCTTGTTCACTGTAGCGACTAAACTAAAAAACTATTGTAGTATGTTTTACCACTTTATTAGTTTATTTTTATGTTTGTTACGGGAAATAATACTTTATAATATTACACAAAAGGAACTGTCACAAAAAATAGAAAATAAAGTAAAATGCAGTCCCCTAATAGGAAAATTTACGTTTTTAGGGTGTTTTGTAAAAATTAAAAACAAAATTTAAAAAAATTGTCCTTAGGAATTACGCAGTTCCCATTTAATAACACAATTTTTGTTCTTTTTTTTCAAATAGATTTTTCTGCAAACTCCTATTTTTATACCGCCTGCTGTGGGCCGGAGCCCAAGGTCTTGCCACTTTGACTCCCTTTGAGCGAAATCATTATAAAACCTGCCGCGTCACTAGTGTAAAATAAAATAGTAATACAACGAAAAAACCACTGGTGGAAAAGCAAAAACATCCAACTGACCAACAACAAATTACCGGCAAAAAAGGAAGGCGCAAACGCACACATATACCCCCAAAAACACGCAAGCAAAACGCAAACACAAACAAAAGCAACGGTACACGCGCGTGCTCGTTCCAATAAGAAAATTTGCGGCTATTTGTTGGTGTCCTCTCAGCTGTTGCTCTAACAACAAATCAAAAGAGGAAAAACATATGCGGCACAATCAACAAAAACCGAAAAGTTATTCTTTATTTAGAAGAGTCCTTTTATGGGAAAGCTCGATCCTGCAGTGAATATTGTTTGGAAGTTTGCAGATACAAGAATAACTCGAAGGATTTGAAATTGACCCAGATCTGCAGAAAGTGTTAGAAATTTTGAACCTTTTTCATAGAAACAGTATCCCTTTTTTGCTGCTATTATTATATATTTTTTGATCGAAAAGCTAGGGCTATTGATTCCAATTTGAAGAAGTTAGTTAGAATAAACATCCCCAACAACATTCCCAATTAGACAATAATCCACAGGTCGCTTTTTTAAGCTTCCGAATATTAAAAGGATACAAATTTAATAAGTCACAAACATTATTTCTAAGTATTATAATTTCCATTATTGAACTTGATATGATATGTGCACTGACCTCCTTTTGCTCTCTTTCTCTCTTGGTTCTGGCTGCAGTTTTAGTGGGGTTGTGTAACGTTATTTGCCGAATTTACCGCTGTTTTTGCTCTCTCACGGTTTCCTTTTGTTTTGCTGTTGGTCTGCGGTGTGTGGATGATTTTCTATCGAAATCGAAACCACAATTATTATTGTTACAAAAAATTAAAAAAAAAAAATGAAAACAAATGATTATGTTTGCAGGTCGCGTGTTTTCCTCACTTCACACCCTCAATAATTTACAGCTGCGGCGGCGGCGTCAGCTGCTCTCTTGTAAACAGATATTGCGACAGGTTCTTCAAATCATTCTTTCTTTTTTAGTTTTTAGTTTTAATTATAGAAATGCGCGGCAGCCACCGGAATCGAGAAATCTCGGAAATCACAGGCGAAATTCACGCGAAACGTGCTCCTCCAATCGGAAAGGTTCTTTCCAATTGGAAGTGCTGTGTAGTGAGTGTGCGGGTGTGGGTGAGTGGTGTGCGACGGACGATGGTGTGCGTGTGGGTATTTCACAACAATCCCACTCGTTTTTTTACCGTGTTTATTGTAATTGTAGTTTGGCTTAATGCGGTTGGTAATTGCGTTTCCTGTCCCGCCAAGTTATCCGTCAACGTAAACAGCGTTATTAACTCAAACGAATGCCAAAAACAATAAAACGCTCCACTTTAAATACAAATTTCTAATGTGCCCAACTGGGGCAAGGCGGGAAAAACTGACGGGCCAAGCGTTAGTGCATTTTATTGCCCGATATCGATAGCGTGTTTGGCAAAACAGCACGTGCAGACATTTTTAAACTGGGCTTTTAATTAGTTTTGGTGATTTTGAAATGTTTGGTGCCTTAGTTTTTATTATCTTGACTAGTTAGAACCTACTCTCTTTTGATGTGTTTACTTTCCCAGCAATATTTTTAAGTGCCTTGCATTAAAAGCTTTTTGACATTTATTTTTTCATATATAAACTTTTAGTAAGTAAACTTAATAACACAAAATGTCGGTTTCAGCTGAGCGCACAACTTCTCATTTCCTAAATTCGTTCAAATTGTTAATTATTTTTCATTTTCTGGAACATTCTGAAGTTTGTTATTTCACCATGATTTGCAATTTGAATTTCAATATCCTAATTGCTTTTTAATTAGTTAGATATATATTTTCTTATCTTCACTGTTTAATATGTATCAATTTTAATTGATTTAAAAAAAAAAATTGTGAATTTTTGATTATTGGTCATATGGAAATGTGACTTGATAAAGATTGTTGCAAGGATTCCACTACGTTTTCTGGTAACATACATACCCAATAAAGTAAACGTTGTTGGTTGAAGATTATTCAAATGCCTTGCTTTTGTAATTTTCGTCGCATACTGAAAGCGAATTCTTTGTTTTGCAGGATTGTTGGCTACTATTTTTCATCTAGTAATTTAAAAACTATTAATAATTCAAAATATTTTAAAATAAAATAAAAAAATTAGGGGGTAAATAAAATTTAAACTTGGGTTTTTGTTTTTAGATCTTGTTTAAAAAAAAGAGGGTATTTGGTATCTACCAAATGTATTTCTTGGGTACCTTGGCGCACTTGGTCACATTGCTGCCCAGCTGATTGAGAAGCGCACATGTTTTGATTGTTTTTTTTTTTTGTGATTCGGAACATTGAACCCCGATCTCCTCCAGAACTCGAAAAATGGGCGGACACCACAAGAAGAACCTGCGGGCGGAGAAGGCCAAGGTGAAGCTGAAGGGCGCCAAGCTGCCCAAGGGCCTCAATGTGACCAAGACGGACTTCAAGGTGCGCAAAATCGAGATTCGGGAGCAGCTAAAGGAGTCCTCCTACTCGGCAACTGGCCAGCGGCAGCTCAATCTCAAGGAGACGCTCTCGCGGCTGAAACATCACAGTGTCAAGTTCCGCACGGATGCCCTGCGTAATGTGCGGGATTCGCTGAAGTCCGGGAATGCGGACCATCTAATTGGACATCTGAACGAGCTGTTCCAGGGCATTGCAGCCGGAGCCTTGGACATGGAGCGTTCGGCGCGGCTGGAATCGTTCAAGACCCTCGATATCCTGCTCGAGGCCCTTCAGTCGCACGCAGTGGCGCCCTTTTTCCACGTCATAGCCACCTATTTGCGTTGTGCCATGACCCACGTGCTGCCGGCCATCCAGGAGGACTCGCTCCTCATGCTGGACGTCCTGCTGCAGCGTGTGTCGCCGGCCCTTCTGGCGGAGCGCAGTGCCAGCACCATCATTGGCAACTTCATCGACATGATCTCCCGCGCTCGCCACGACAGCGAGCGCTCGAATCGCACCCTCACCTTGAACCTGGGCCAGGGCAAGCAGACGACCGTGAAGTGGCGCACCAAGGTGCTGCTCCGTCTGCAGCAGATACTCGGCACGTTGGTCAGCTCCAAGGGCTCCAAGACGGCCGTTGCCCGTGTGGTTCACTTCGATTCGATGTGTCCGCAGTACTACAATGTGCTGTGTCAGGTGCCCCAGGACAACAGGGACCTGTATTCCATCCTCAACGAATCCAAGCTCACTGCCGAGGGCACACGACTGCAAACGTACGTGGAGCAACTGCTTCCGCTCCTGCAGGACAACTGGCTGGAGGTGCGTCCGCAGCCGCAACAGCCGCTGCTCAGTCAGGATGCGGCGGCCAGTCTGCATGTGGTCATCAGCCTGATGACCCTGCTCTGGACCCTTATCGCACAGCATGAAACGGAGAATAACACCAGTGAACTTAGCGACTGGCTGAGAAAGAACTATGCGCAAAAGTTCCTGCTCAACTTTTTGGCCAAGGACGGCAGTCGTTTTCCCTACCAACAGATTCCGTTGGGGGCGACGGCCAAGAAGTCATCGAAAGACAAGGGACCCGCGGATGGCGGGGAACATTGCTTGCCGCAAAACCTAGGCCTTGTCCAGCTAACCTGCAAGTTCCTTCCGAATCCCAACGAGAAGCAGGCCCAGCTGTTTGGCCATTTGGTTGCCTACATGCAGAAGAGTTTGGATCGCCTCAGTTCACTGTCGCCGGAGCAGCAGCTCTCTGTGGTGGCTTCCCTGCGTCCGTTGCTTCTTGAACATGCCACATCGCTGCAGAACATCGTGGCAGAACCTCTGACCAGCTTGCTGAGTGCCACCATCGAGGCTTATGTGGGCCAGCGGTTCACCACCCGCGAGGGCGTGGCCACGCGAGTGCTGAATCTCCTCTGCGAGATTGTGGAGCGTTCGGCTTTGTATGCCCGCTTTGGCGGAGAGCAGAGATTCGCCCCGTTCCTTGGCTATCTGCCGCAGTTGCTGCTGAAACCAACAGTGGGTGAGGGCACTCTGCGAGCCATGGCCACGCTCTGTCGCCAACTGAATGGAGTCTTTATGTCCGCCCTCATCCAAGCCGCTCCCGAGGTGGTCAGCCACTTGGTTAAGCTGCAGGTCACGAGCGATTCCGATGGCGAGGACAAATTCGAGAACCAGAAACGCGTTCTCAACCTGTTCTACTACGCCAGAGAGTCGGATAAAGAGGGAAAACTGGAGCGGGCACTTAAGCAGCTGGAGGAGAAGGCAGAGCACGAGCGGATTGCCGGTTACCTGAAGGCAGTGCTGGGCTACAACTAGTGCTCCCCATCCAGTACAATACACACCTACTTTGTATAGCATCTATAATTAGTTTAATGTTTACATTATAATCCTCTTGCTTAGGACGAACTCTGCTGCTCAGGTCTTCTGTTTCTTGGGTGGCTTGGGTTTGAAACGATCCAGCACGGAGCGCGGTGCCTTGGCCTTGGCCTTGCCATTGGCACCCTCCTTCGCTATGTGCTGCTTGATCACCTCCTTCTTGGCCTCCCTCACCTCGGCAATGAACTCCTGCAGGCGTGGAAGTAATTAGATTTGGGTTTGCCACAAACTTGGACGACCCTTCACTCACCTTGCGCTTGGCATCCTTGACGATCTGCTTGCTGCGCGCTGCATTTGCAGTACCGCCACGACCCTTCATCTTGTGGCGCGAATTCATTTTGATGCGCGGCGCCTTCAAATGGAACAGCTTGCGCTTGGCATCGATCTTCTCCTGCAGCGTGGGCGCATCCACGCCGGTGATCTCGTGCGGATCCAGGGTGATCAGCTCGGGCGGAATCTTTTCGAGCAGAGCGTGCACCTCGTGCTCGCGTCGCTGCTTGCTCGTTTCGTAGGGATTGTCCTCCAGGGCATCGAAGTTGGGCTCCCCAGAGCCAGGCACTAGCAGCGATTGGAAGCCCTTGGCCGTGGCCACGCCGAGCACATCCTCGTACGGACAGAAGCGCAGGCCGTGGACAAAGGCATCGCAGCGCTGGCGAATGTAGGGCAATCGCTGCCCGTCACCCGAGCCGCCGCCGGAGAGCAGATCCGAATAGGTCTCCAGATAGGTGCCCTGCGACAGCGCCAACATGCCGCGCTGTGAGACATCCAGCTCGTTGGCGGGCAGGCGCAGTTTGAAGTGGGTCAGCGGCTTGTCCTGCACGAGCATCCGGATGTCCCACACCTTCACGGCCCGATCCAGGCCAGCGGTGACCAAGTGCTGGCCCTTCGGGTCCACAGCCAGGGCTGTCATGGCTGTGGAATGGCACAGCAGCTTGGCCAGCGGCTCACGAACCTTGGGCGACCACATGGACACCACGCCACGTCCGCCGCCAATGCAGAGCACGCCGTTTCGGGGATTGTGGCGCATCAGACGTATGTCGCCCAGGCCCGTGTTGAAGTTGCCCACCAGTTCGCCAATGGAGACGTCCAGCCAGGAGGCATAGCCCGCCGTGTTGCCGGCGGCCAGAAGGAAGTGATAGGGCAGGAAGTCCAGGCGGTTGACCCGGTTCAGTCGCTTGATGCAATGCAGCTCGGTGCCCTTCTTGTCGTAGAAATAGACCCAGCTCTTCTGGGCCACCGCGTACATGGTGGGCACGTGCAGCCACTGCACATCCTCGATGCTCTCCATGGCATTGAATTCGCAGTGCAGCCGCTTGGTCACCCAATCGAAGGCGGCCACATGTCCGCGTCTGCCGCCGAGCAGCAAGTGTCGGCCGTTCTTGGTGTAGCGCAGTTGGTAGGGTCCGAACTCCATGTTCAGGTTGAAATGCTTGGTCGACGACTGCAGGTCCACGTTGTCGGCAATCTGGGCCTGCCGAAACTCGGCGGTGGTCTCGCCCTCATCCGCCTCGAGCTGGCCAGCGGTTTCCTGGAGCAGGAGTTCCGTGCGAGCCGCCTGTTCGGTGGCATACTCGAGGTACACCTCTTTGCGCGTCTGCTGCTCCTTGAAGTGGCGTGTTTTCACACCTTTTGGCTGCACTTGCTCGCCACGTGAGTACTTCTTAAGCAGCTCCTCGGGAATCGGGTGCTTCTTGGGCTTGGTCTCCGCCTGCTCCTCCTTCGCTTTTGCAGGGGCCTTCAGCGGACGCGGCTTCTTGGTTTTATCGTGCATCCTGATAAAGTCCCCGGTGAAATTCTGTTGGTTCTTGCTCCTCACTTTAACATGTTCTAGTCGGCCGTCGCCCTTTTCTGTGTCCTTTGGCGTCTCAAAGTAGCGTTTGTAGGGCGTCTTTCCCTTTGGGCGCCCTTTTGGCGCTGTTTTGGTCATTTTGATGTATCAGCCAGGCGTTGTTAACTTAAAATTTGGCTTAAGACAAAAACGAATTTGAATTTGACAACAACGTGCACGTGCTGCTTCTTCTTCTTCGGAACAGCTGTTGGTCAGTGTGGCCAGTTGGTATTTTGGCGCTTAAGACAGAGGGGCCTAAAATACCAAATAAATACCATCATCTACTCAATTCAAAAATTTGCGCGAGCAATGGAAATCAAAAGTTTCATTTAAGTTTTATGTTAGGTACTTTATTCACTACCATCAATAATTAATTAAGTAAATAAAAAAAATGGAAAAATTACATGTTATCAATAGAAATAAAAAGGGATTTTTTGTTCTATTCATTTGCAACTAATTTAGGTTTAATTTTTAAATATACGTAGGTTTTAATTACAACTAGAACGAAAGGACATCAAAATACGTTTTAGCCCCAAACCCGCTTGCAAAACGCTTTCAAGATCCTTTCGGCCAACCGAATGTTACATACGGTAGGTTAATATTGCTAAAGTTAGACCTTATTTTGGTACCACTCGTTAGACGAATCCGTCAGTCTCTGGGAGGTCCATCTATTAACTAGTTAGTCAGTTAGTAGACACGACCGTAGGGCAAGGTATTGGGATAGTAGGGCATAAGGAACTTGGCGCCAAAACGCGGCTGCGATTGCGCCGATTCGCTGCTAGAGGAGAACATCGAGGTGCAGATCTCGGCCCGATCCCGATGCAATCGGCTGCTGCTGTTCGAGGTGCTCGTCCCGGCGATGCCCAGGCCCAGTCCCAAGCTCAGTCCGGCTCCATGACGGCGCTCCCGACGTCGTGACCGGATCAGCGAAAAGATGGCCACCACCACGGCGACCAGAAAGATCAGGCCCAGCACACAGAACGAGATGGCCAACTTGGAGATGGACAGACAGAGGGTACCCTCGCTGGGCACCGGCTGACCCCGGACATGCGGCGCATAATCCTCTCCTGAAATAACATCCTTGATTAATTTAACAAAAACTTTGTACTTATTCAAATTTAAAATATTTCTTTTTTTAATTTTTCTAATCTAAATCACTTACAAAATCATGTGAAAGTGAAAAAACTAAAGCACAGTCAATGAAAACACATTAGTTAAGTTAAGTTGACTTAAAGATTCGAGTATTTATATGTAATTAGATAATGAAATTGAAATATGTTTTAGTTTTAAACACCCTGTTTACTTTGCCGGTGCGGCATCCGTGACTGACACGCATTCCCAATCCCAGTGCTCCTCCCAGTGCCCCTTCCATACCCACATCCATACCCACATCCATACCCACATCCACATCCACATCCACCCCCAATCCCGCCCACTTACCGCTCATATTGTGGCGCCTGTCGTAGCGCAGGCGGTCCACCTCGATTTGGGGAGCTGTCACGGCCAGCGAATTGAACACCTCGATGCGGGCCAAGTGCTGCTCGGCACTCAACGCCGGCGGAGGCGTCTTCTGGCGACAGTTTAGCTGCAATGGAAAGGGAATCGGAATCGGAGAGTATAGTAAACACACTGCATTCGCATGGTAAACACTCAAGGAGGCAGTGCATCGGATGGTGCACTGCTGGCTAAGTGGGTATGTGGCTCCACTTGGCTGCATTTCGGTGCAATAACCACATTAATTAGCAGACGCAACAACACGCTACGATGGGCAGCTGAAAAACAGCAGAAGCGGCAGTGGCAACACTTTCGTTTTCGTTGCAATTAATTGAGATGCATACGAGTGGTGTTTGTTTTTTGTCGGTACACAGAAAAAAATACCTACTATACTTCTAAATAATTATATGGCTTGCAAGGCTATACACAATTCACAGTTTTCATAACATAAGATTTCCAAAACGAAGACCTTAAGGACTCTAAATCTTTAAAATATATGCAAAAAAATTCTTTGCGTAGGAATCGAACTTGTATCCTGCAATGTAACTATCAAAAAAAACTCCAACTCTTTGGCTAGTATTCGAACTAGAGTTTTTCGATTATACTTTACTCTAACATTTTGATAAAGAATTGCTAAGATTATAAAGCGAAAGAAAAATAAAAAATACCTTTAAATAAGTAATATCTTTCGAAGAATAGTTTTCTACAATATTTTATAAATTTTAAAACCAATTTTCTCCATATATTCTGACTAAAGTAGTTGTTTTTTTTTCATTTATAATTAATTTTTTTAAAACTGTAGTTACAGTGTATAATGTGTAGTACAAGTATGTGGTACTCACAGTCGGACACTTCCCCTTGCAAAGTTGCACGCCACAGCTGACGTGAAGGCGTTCGCGGTCCGGGAACTTGAAGGCGGGAAACGTGGCCGCGAACGTCCGCTCGACCAGGTCTTCCTCGTGCTGCTTGGACCATCCCTCCTCCGCCGGTCGGTGCTGGGTGTGCAGAGCGGGCATTACCTGGCCATGGAAACGGGCGAAATTAGTATATCCATAGATATGCATGGTAAACAAGGTTGTTTTATTGGTGGCTAACGTTGGAGGCTATTTAGACCCGGCTATTTTAAAAAGTGACGTCTTTCCCCTCTCCCCAAAAGCAGGAAATTTGTGTTTTTTACAAAGCTTTGAACTGCAGGGTATTTTTTAAATATATCACCCTGATCATTGTCCTTTGAAATGGTTAAAGATTATACTAACTACAAAGCTAGCTTAGTGCAATATTTATGATTTCTTCGCTAAACTTATGTAGTTAAACTGTGTAAGTCATTATCAATGTCACAATATCTTTTTTTTCTTTTACAAGGGTGTTATAGAAATTAACAATGATTAATTAATAAGTCATATCATAACTGTTTCAATAATATTTTTGTAACATTATTTTAATAATTTTTTCTCTCAAGAGTTGAATAACTCCAGGAAAATAAAAAGCTTAAGAACTACCTTATGCATTCATTATGTCACATTTGTTTGATAGACTGGGAACATGAACCTGTTGTCTCGCATTGCGATCGCTGTCCCTGAACCTGAACTCCAACTTTTATGCCCCAAGCAGTGGCAGTTGTGTGCTTTTGATGGCCTTCTTTTATCACCGGTTATACAATAATTCGGGGTGACAAAACACTGGCTCACACACCACACACTGCCGACATTTCGGTCATTTCCGTTACGTATGTACAAATAATGCAGTATAGTGTCAGTACCAGTACCAGTACCGAGTATAGTGCCAGGAAAACCGAGAAAAGGTGGCAAAGCAATTGTCATGTGGCCAAGTTCAATGACAACAATGCTGAGCTGCAAGTGGTGCATATGTACGCATATGTAGTGCAGTTTGGCAAATGGTATGAGGTATGAGGTATGATGCATGTGCGATCGCTGGAAACAGATGTATGGAATTACAAGACGCTGCGATTTACATCTCGCCATTGTTGGTGGTAACTAAAACAAAAGCGAGGAAGCAGGGTTACTTAAGCAAACCAAAGATTGTATGCCCTACAAAAACCACAGTATGAGGAACTTATATAAGTAAGGAAATTGCCACAGGTTTCCTTTTAACCCTTTGAAGCAATAATTTTAGAAAATATTTGTTTACCATGCCTATAATTCCCAACTGGTTTTAGCCTGTGCAAGCAAAAAAAAAACTGTTGAAAATCACCGATATTGATGAATGGCTTATTTTTTAACTAATTTGTAAGACTTTAAGAGAGGCCACAAAATGATAACCATCATATGAATATCTCCAGAGAGGGTATATAAGACAGCAGGGACCAAGGCACGTTGATTAGCTTAGACGGCGATGTCTGGTTTCAATTTACACGCCCAAGCACGTGTATCCCCATGCGCGGGTGTATGTGAATGCGAAACCTGAGACAATAACGAGAAAAAGCAAATTGTTGCGGAAGTTCAAAAGAGTTCACGTGCAGAAAGATTGTACAATTGTAAATGTACAAATTGCAGGCTTCCTTTATGGCACCCATAGACTGTCATCTCTAAAATCAAATAGTCGAAATAATCGCCTGAATTGTTGCATTATCGATAGGCATGTATTAAATGGTTATTATTGAAGGAAGAAACATTATTATTATTATTAAAAAGGTCTTAAAGAGGCAGTTAGTCCCCATGTAAAGAGCTCAATCAAGGGTCAATCAAGGCAATATTGTATAGAGCCCCCGTAGGATCGATAACGATGGCTTTGTGCTGCTCTCCCTATCAACGGTACCTGCACTGTGGGTCAAATTCTAGAGATTCTACGCCAGAAAGTGGGTCACCATCATCGGCGGCGTTTGCAGACAAAAGACGCGGTTTTTATTTCACTTTTCTTCCACGCTGTGACCCAGAAGTGTTTCTAAACCAAACAAATCAACCTGTGATAGGTGCGCGCATAAATTTGCAATCGCACTGGAGAGCGTCTTGAAGAAGTTAAGGCAAAAAACAAAAAAAAAAAATTGTATAAGAAAAATAAAACAATAAGCCAAACCAACGCGAAAGAAAATGAAATGTGCTAAAACGGAAGACAGCCGCCAAGAGTTGAACAATAAAACAAACATAAAATGCAAATGCTTTTCTGTGTGTCTCTTCGCCCGTTCCGTTAAAAATAAAACAGAAATTAAGCCGTGTGATTTTTCTAGCGCTGCTCCTCTGACCACCAACCACATAAACAGAAAGAAGTAGCGAAGCGTCTAGTTGGAGATTTGTTTGACCCATTTAAGGCGGCTTCGTGAATGAATGACATGTGCACAAAGCTGCGACGGCCGGCGACCAAAATGCAAATGCTTGGCAATGGCATTGCCCACCGTCGCACAGTGGGGCCATTAGCCGAAAATCGTAATAAAAAATGAATGTTTCAAGATCTTAACAAAAATAAAATATAAACTTGAAGAAAAGCTCTTTAAGAAACCCTCTTTTAAAATCGAAAATAGGCAATTCTATTACACATTTTCTAGACATTTTATTTTTTGAATTGCTTGGCTTACAAACTTAAGCTTGCATAAAAAGTTTATCTCTGAAAAGCATTTTTGAAGTTAATAAATCAATAAATTATTGCTCTACTTTTTTTAAATTACTAGAAGGAAAAAAAGATGCTACACATGCTCAATTGGTTTTTTGTTGTTTCACTTTCTTTTAATTATATTTTATATGTTACAATAATTAAAAAAAATTAACCATTAGCAAGAACATGTTATGGAACCAAAAGATATATTTTTAACAAGAATTTCTTTTTTTTAAGTTTGGCAATTGACAGGACTTGACTTGCGTATCTTGGTGTTAAATACATAAAAACCCAATCTTCTGGCCCCACTGTTGATTGACTCAGTGGTGCTGACGAAGATTGTGGTGCCGGGGAGTCGAGGGCGGGAGTTGAGGCAACCACAAACAGGGGCACGTCAAAATGCTAAACGATAAATATTTCTATGTATTTCACTGTTGGCTAATTGTTGTGACCTCCTAATTTACTGAAGAAGAACTGAAGAACTGAAGAATTTGGAGAGCCCAGGGAAACCCAGGGAAACCCAGGGGAATCCAGCAAACAGAAAACTGAAAATCCAGAGAACAGTTCGCAGGCGTTTCTTCGGTTGTTTCTGTATTTTTTTTTGTATTTTTTTCCTACTTTAGCTAATGGTTTCGTTTGCTTTGGGACTGCTTGGCTGGGCAACGAAAACTGTTCTAACGATGATCGCGTAATTACGGCTAACAGTTTCGGTTTTGCTGCCGTTTGCCTCACATTTAATGTCGGTGCTGTAATAACTGTTACACTTAATGAGCCGCTGCTTTTGGGCGGTAGAAATATTTAAATTATATTAGATCTAGAGTGGCGGCACACAATCAATCGGGTCTTCGAAAACCATTTTCCAGCTATTCAAATTTCCCTTTCGTTGCGATCCGGAAATCAATGGCTTTTGTTTTACATTTTCGTGTCTTCAAAATGCACTTAAAGTTTTCTAAAACTAATCGCATACAACATTTAAGTTATGGTGACTTTAAGCGACTAAAATGACATTTTCATTATTTTTTGAAGATATATATTTTGTTTTTAGACAGATCTGGCAAGTAACGTTTTTTTTTTTGGGCACTTTTAAATGTTAAACCTTTTTGGTTAGGAGTCAATACTTATGTCGCTTGAAAACTTTTTTTTTACAAAATTTTGAACTGAATTTTTAGGCAGTTTTATTTTTTTTAACAACTTCTCTGTTTGTAGAAGTATTTAAAAGAATTTTCTAATAGTCAAAAGACTTTTCTAGATTACAAATTTTTTATTTAATTCTAAAACAATAGTAATTTTTTTCGATGTGTTTTTATTTGAGTTCTAACTTGATTTAATATCATTTTCAATTGTAAGTATCTAAAAAACAAAACGTCTACTTGCTTATAGTTATAGTTTTCTTAATGTTGCAGTTTTGTATGCCCGAATGCTACCCTCTTAGATGTCGTCTATAAAAATGAAAGTTAAATGCGATCGATCGCAGATCGCCCCACAGCATCGAGATCGTCGTTAATTAATGGCTTTCCGTTTGTCTCATCGCGTCTAGTTTTTGGTTTCTTCTCCGCTCTAACGGTTCAGCGTAGAATGTCGCGCCGCCGGCACCTGTTACGCAAATGGCCGATCCACAAGATGCATATGTATCTATACGTATGTATCTGTAGACCGAAGTAGATGAGTAGATCCACTCACCTGCTCATCGATGGGACACCCACGGGCATCCAGTAGTTGCTGCGTGGATTCGCCCAGTCCGTCGAGTGCGGCACAGTCCACCACCCGCACTCCGATGTTTCCCGGTACGATGGCCCGTACGGTCAGGGTGGTGGCCACGCCCACCTCCACGGATCCGGTTCCATTGGGGCCACCCAACTCTAGCCAGATCCTTACCCGCGGCGTCTCCATGTGATGGTGCTGGGATTGGGTGTGGGTGTGGCTGCTGCTCGTCGGTGGTGATGATGATGCGGACAGGGCTGGAACTGCAGCCGCTGCTGCCAAGGCCCGCATCCGAGCATTCCTGAGTGAATAGATAATAATTATATAAATAATAATAATTATAATTAATAATAATAATCAGTTCAATATCGACGTATGCCAAAATTGAATTTGTCAATGGTTGTATTTTAAACGAGTCTTATTTGTTATACACCTATATGTGCAATTATCAATTAAGTAATTTGTCCTCCGTTTCTAGAATTACAATTTTAAACTATAATGTTATTTGTTTGTTTTTGGTTTATGGTTGACAGATTTATATTTTACGATATATTTATATTTAACGCTTTTTTAATGGGTTTTTATATTTAGCTATTTAAAAATTGTCTTTCAAAAACTATATAATGTTTTGTCTTTTTGTTTCTACAACAGATTTAGATTTATGTAAACATACTCTCAAAAAAGTGCAATAACGCTAGATCAGATCATTTTAATTTGCATTTGTTTTTCCCCCGAAACTCACCGCTCGCGTCCGTTGTCCTGTCGCAGGATGGGCAGTGGCATACCCATGGCGTTGGCCGGCAGCTGGCACCGGACGGCGCTGAGGATGTCGGTGCTCTGGCGCAGCTTCTGCTCCTTTTGGAGCATCACCCGCACCGAGTACTCCAGACTGCCGTCCTCGAGGGGCTCCGCCCGCACCCCACATCCCGAGGTGGGGATGCGCAGGTGCAGCCGGGTGGAGTCCTGTCCCCGCGCCCGACACTCCAGCGGAAAGTCCTTGGCATAGAGCAAGCCCCGAAAGGGCCGGCTCAGCTCCAGGTGCATCTCGAGCAGATCCCGGCTGCAGTTCACCTGCATCGTTTGGATTTGCATGGTGGCATTCTCGTTAATGGAATGGGAAGGGGAATGGGATTGGGAAGGGGAATTCGCTGGCGTTCTGCTTGCCCAGCTAGCATGACACACAAATCGCGGCAGATGCAACACTCCGATAACGGCCACCATTGGCAGCAGCTGGCCGAGATTGAAGCCAATGGAGAGGGAGGATGTGGCGGCGCTGGAGGAGAACATGTTTCTTCCGATTTCCCGTTTTCGCCGACGGACCAGGCAACCCGCCCCGGCGATCAAAACCGCAATTGATGCCACTTGCTGCCGCTGTCTTTCGATGTTGCTGCTGTCACTGGGATGTTGCCGCTGTGCAATGCTGATGTCGTTGATGTCGCTGATGTCGCTGCTGGAACCGCCGACACCTGTTGTCGTCTGTGGCCAACTCTTAATTGGCCTACTCCGAGTCCAAGTTCGAGAATCTTGTCTGCGAAATGGAAATGGGTTTTTTTTTTTTTAGCTTAGCTTGGTTTTTGGGTCAAGTCTGCAAGGTGTTCAAGTCTTACGTTGTATTGTTTCTTAATACATTTTGAATACTTGTAAAATTTTAAAATACACAAATATATATGTATGTATATAAGATCATGGAATGCAAATCAAATTTTTTGTAGTACATTTTCAAAAGATTGAAGAATAAATATACAAATAAATATTTACTATAATAATTAAATTATATCAGATCTTTAACTAAAACCATATCTTAAATCACTTTCTCACATCAGAGTTCATGTAATAGAATTAATGATAATATCTTTTTTTTTATAATATGTTATAGACATCTTACTAATCATAAGTTAATCAATTGTATAATTTGAAAATAACAAGGTAAAAAAAAGATACCATCCTCAAATGACTATCAATCAATGATTATAATCGATTCTATGGCTAACGAAAAGGGAAAGGGGAAAATGTCTGCCACTTTATGTAATTTATAATTGCCAAATAAATGAGAGGCCAATTTGGGAGCCCTTCCCTGCCCATTTTCGATGCCATGCGATGCGATGCGATGCGATATGATGCCAATTCGGTGCCGAAAGCGGGTCAAGTTTGTCCCATATTTGTTGATTGGACTGAAGCCATAAAGCTATGAGGCTGGCTGCTGAAGATGTTGCAGCACGGCGAACAAATAAATAAATAAATGCGATAAAGGCAAACACCAAAGCTTAAATCAACATCAGCATAATGCGTTTGCAACTTTGCGTAATCCTATTTGATGTTACTACTGCCTGCTCGTTGGTTATTCGCTCATTGTGCTGTCTATTTGTATTTGTGATTCCCATCTCTTATTAACTCTCGTGGGCATTGTAATCGGCCCAATTAACAATAAAACTTTGACTATCAAAGAAAACACAAAGTAAACCTTTTGAAGTCGCAGTGGCAGTGAGATTACTTGCCCTTCACTTTGGTCGCCTTTTTTCTTTTTGGTAATGTGATGTCAATAAGTTTGTGTCCTTAATCCTTAATCCTTATTTTTAAGATATTATACTTTAATATTGGTTGCTTTAAATCTAAGTTTTCTCTATTTTTTTCTTGCTATATTTATATTTTATTTTATAATACTAATTAATTAATATTCTGCAAGAATGCTACATTCTTTTTATTGTATGATATGACCAACAATGTTAATCAAACTGATTCATTTTTTACATCATCCTGTTTTTTAAACAAACCTAAAGAACACAATACCTATCCTTAGCGTTTATTACTCGAGATTTATTTGAATACATTTTTAATAAAGCCGTTTCGAATTTTTTAGCTTAAAGCTTACCGTATGTCAAGGGTTTTTTATGTCCTTTAGCTTCGCCTAGGAAGTGCAGCTCTTTGTTTGAAATCTATTGCTGATTTCTTGTTCTTTATAATCACTTTTTGCAAAAATATTTGCACACAACAAAAAAAAATGGAATTTCTTGCGCAATTATGCGGTAAATCGAATTGCGAAAAAAGCAGAAGAACCGCAATTTTCAAATTGGTTAATTATCAGCCACTACGCATGCGCGCACTTCACACGCTCTCAAGTGCAAAACAGTAAAAACCGTGCATAAAAAAAAAAAACAACAAGAATATCAGAAGAAAAGCTCGCGAAACGCCCGATGAAGAAGTCTCGAAAGAAGACAAGCGCGCGCCACCGAGTGTGCAGATGCAATGCACCGGGCCAATTCCGAATCCGAGTCCAGAAGTTAGCCAAGTTAGTCGCGAGCGCAGACCGCAAAACAACAACAAGGGGAAGGGGTAGAAAAAGCGGCGGAAGACGTTAATTTAACCGTCGTCACGCATGCGGCGCGAATTGGCGCGCTTGTGGGCCATTTAAATTTTAGCTATCGATAGCTCCCAAGTATCGGAATTTGATATTTTAAATTTCAAATACATTTTTATACATTCTCACAGCAGCAAAACTTTTTTAATTTCTGCTTACGAAAGAAAATGGATCAAAGTAGTTTTAGTTTGAATTTCGATACCAAGTAAAGTTTTTTAAAACCCATTCCTGCTAAGAACTTTCATTTATAATTTGTAAACAAAAAATGTTAATAAATACATTTTTGAATTTCGATAGTTTCCACAATATCAGTATTTTTCTGCAAAAGTATCGAAACTCAGTAGTTTCAATAGTTGGTATTGTCCAGCAACCGGCAACTGGTCACACCCTTGCAATCGTCGCATCCCTTATTTGTGACTTCCTCTCTCAACTGACTTTTTCAGTGATGCCACCTGGATAAAAATATGACCAATTAAAATGTACGAAGCTTAAAAAAATACATCGATATATGGTTAAATTAAGACAACAAATTTATTTAACAATTCATGTTTTGAGATCAGGTTTTGGTTCTTGTTAATGAATAACAATTTATCCACAATATTTGATTTAGTGCAGCTCCAGCAATCGGAACTTCTTTGCCTGCAACCAACTCCACCGGGATTAAAGTAACGTAAACACTGCACTAAATATGACCAAATACATAAGAAATTAAAATGAATATTAATATAAGACAAATTTAACTTTACTTACATGCGGTTCTTTAATGCACAGATAAACTAAAAACAATCGATAGAGGCCAAAAACCATCGAAGCTTAGAAAAATTAAAAAACACGGAAGTTATCGATAATGTCATCGATTGTTTTCCAGCTCTAGTGGCCGACTCAGCTCTAGTTCTACTTTATGACTTCGTACTGCTTTTTGTTCGCCAAACTTCATGCCAAATAATTAAACCAGATTGTCTGATTGTAGTTGCACGTCAAGGATGAGCAACCGCCTTGCGATGAACATGGACATGTCCGAGATAATCGAGTTCGTGCTGCCCGCCAAGGGCGAGTACTCGGACGACGACGGCGGCGGAGGAGGCGCCGTGGGCATTGTGGACGCCAACGAGGATGCAACCTACGTGGTTCTGGACGGCCTGGGCAACGATTACGATGAGGAGTTCCTGATCGTCAACGAGGACGGCGTGGAGGGCGAACTGCTGGTGGGCGAGGAGGAGTTGCAGGGTCTGCTGGTGGGCTCCCGGGTGAAGGAGGTGCCGCTGGAGGATCAGGGTGAACAGTTTGTGGTCACCGAGCTGCAGCTAAGCGATTTGGAGGAGCTGGTGGAGGAGGAACAGGAGCAGGGCGACTACGAGCACGAGCTCAGCTATGGTCATCATCTGCCCGTTTGCGAGGAGCCAGAAGATCTGGAAATAGATGAACCATGTTCGCCCTCCCCGCCGCCATCACCATCACCAGCGCCACCGCCGCCGACGGTGCTGCCTCCTGTGCAGCCCGCCGGTAGAGTGAGATCTTCATCCGCCCTCCAGATCGCCATACGCAGCTTTGCGAGCCAAAATGACGACGATGGCAGCGTCAAGGATGTGAAGCCCAGCGAAAAGATGCTGGAGGAGTTTAAGGGACCGCGCCGCTACTTGCTCTTCGATGACCTGATTGCCACCATCGTGGACTTTGACGACGACAGCACACCCATTGTGGAATTCTCAATGATCAGCGACATGCTGGACGAGAAACTGCCGGTGGAATGCGGCATCTGTCCGGATGTGATGCACAAGACGAAACTGTCCAAGCACCAGAAGACCCATTTGGTGCCGGGTACCAATCGCTACGCCTGCATCTACTGCACGGAAACGTATCGCGACTGCAAATACCTGGCCGGACATGCGCGGCGCCACATGGGCATCCGTCCGTACGTCTGCGAATTGTGCACCTTGTACTTCTCCACCAAACAGGACCTGCGTGTGCACAATCAGAGGCGTCACCTGGAAAAGGAGCACATCTGCGAGATGTGCGGCAAGACGTTCGCCCAGAACACCCAGCTGAAGCGTCACCGCGAGGCGACGCACGAGAAGAAGCGACGGTTCCAGTGCCAATACTGTCAGAAGGCCTACTACAAGAACTTCTCGCTGCAGGAGCACATCCGCAACGTTCACATGGGCAAGCGTCGGATGTTGAAGTGCCCGTTCTGCGGCATGCAGTGCCGCGATGCCCACAAGATGGCCCGCCATCGCAAGGAGATGCACCTGAGCCAGGGCACCTATGTGTGCCACCTGTGCCAGGAGGAGTTCACCGACATCAACTATTTCGATGCCCACAAGCGGTCCATCCAGTGCCGGAGCAACACGCGTCGCTTTGTGAACGATAGGGATGGTGATGAGAATCAGGGAGGATCCGGTTCGGGATCCGTTTCGGGCGGCATGATGGACGGCCAGGAGGATGACGACGATGGCATGGGTCTGCTGGAGGAGGAGTACGACGAGGACGACGGCCTTCTGGTGGAGGAGGGCCAGGCGGCGGAGGAGCAAGTGACAACCAATGGGCATTACATTAACGAGGGCGAGCCGCAGTACGTCCAGTTACCGGACTACGACGACCAGCGACTGCTGGTGGAGAACGTGGTCGACGACGACGAGGATGTGGAGGAGGAGCTGCTCAGCGAGGAGCAATACTTTAATGCTGTCCAACAGCATAATCAGCAGCAGCAGCAGCAGCTCCACTCCCAGCTGGATCCACATGGGCAGGACTACCACGACGAGCTGATATATGAAATCACCTTGAAGACTGAGGATAATTGAGTGCCGCACCCTTGCGCATATTGTAAATAGTACCCATTTGAATAATATGATGTAAACAATTATGTATTTTGGGTGTTTTTGAATATGTCTCCCTTTCTTTGGTCGAATGCAACCCAGTGTCCCCAAATCCGCAGTGCTGTATTTTGCAGGGCAACCGATTCAAAGGGCTAAATGCAACTCCGGGATCCTACGGATCCTGGCTTGCAATGCAGGGATCGAGGGTCTATTGGGGCCATTGGGGTTTTTGGAAATTTTCCATTCATTTTGGAATTCGCAAGGCCTGCTGACGTCAGCATGAGTTCTAGGGCAGGAGAAAGCGAGAGGGAAGTAGTCTTGATTTCGATAACGATTGTTCCGCGTAGATATGAGCTTTTTCCTCGCCAAATTTTTCTGTTTTAAAAAATGAATAATAACCCATAAATCAGGGACAGTAATAATTACTAGTGATATAATTAAAATCACAAATCTTGAGCGAAAAAAATTACTCAAAATATATTGATTATTTTTTGGTTAAAAAAATATTGCTCAAAGTAGGATAACTTTTTTTGTGTAGCACTGTGTTGCAAGGGATTGTTTTGTTGGCTTATTAAGGAAATCAAGGCAAACCAAAAAAAATTGTAATAATATTAAAAAATTATTTAATTTTGATTATTTATTGTTCAATCAAATTAATAAATATTATTTACGGTCCCAGCCATATATTTTTTACATATACGGATTTTTTGTTGTTTATTTTTTCAAAATATTTATACAGGAATCATTTTATTTTAAGCAATGGGCTATTCTTGAGCGTTGTTTCCTGTTTAGTTTTTTGTGAAGGGTTATTTTATTCCCTGTTTAAAACTAAAACTTTTAGCTAAACTCAATTCTAGCTAGTTGTAGCTATTTTGCCAGCACCTGTTGGACACCACTGATACTAATAAATGTAAACAACACAAAATGTTTATTTTGACCGGAAAAGTAGGCGAATCCGGTGATGGCGATGGCAACGCAACCAAGGGAACCCTGTATCCTTCGATCAAACTTTTCCAGCCACACGACAAACCCCCTTGATTCCGGGAAGAGTTGTCTTCTCAGACAGCGCACAAAGCTATATCCACAAAGATTTTGATCTGGCATATGTATATATTTTAAACAATGGACGACAACGATGATGAGGTGGAGGAGCACCAGGAGCTGGATCTGATAAGCGACGTCAGCGCCGAGGAGGAGGAGGCAGTGGAGGCCGACCTTGGCCCGGTGGACAGCTGGGAGTCCTTCAACGATCGCATCGATGGAATGATCTTCAACGAGCACTGTGACAAGCCGGTGAAGAAGTTGGACGAGCGCCGGCTGGCGATACTCAACCGGGTGCGTCAGCAGTTCCACGAGGCGCCCAAGGGACTCGCGGATCGGTGTCAGGCTCAGAAGTCGCCCATCGACCAGCAGCTGGAGCTGTCCGGCGAGCGCCTGAACGAACTGGTCCGCTTCGGCAACGAACTGGTGACCAATGTGCGGGTGGCCAACGAGCGGCGGGAGCTGAATCGCCGGTTCTTCGAGGCCACGCAGAAGACCCAGGTGCAGACGAAGCTGCAGCGCGAGAGCACGGAGACAATGGCCCGTTTCGAGAACATCAAGGCGCGCTGGACCGAGCTGGAGGAGACCAACGAGCCGATGCTCCTCTGGGACCAAATCGAGGAGCAAAAGAAACGCATTGCCGAGATAATGGCCCGCAAGGATGAGATGATAGCCACCTGCCAGCAGGAGGTGGATCGCATGAATGCCAAGTACGAGTTCGATCGCGAACGGCAGGCCCAGGATCTGTGCTGCCTGGTGGAGCGCGTCGATCACCTGGTGGAGACGCTGAAGGAGGCCTACAAGGAGCACCTGGAAATGCTGCGCCACACCATCGAGGAAGAGCGGCAGATGTTCGCCGCCAATGCGGTGGAAAAGTGGCGCACCTTTTTCGATGCCATGAACGCCAACTTCGATGAGAAGGCCAATTTGGTGAAGACGCGCGAGCAGTTCTATGCCCGCCAGACGCAGCAGATCAACGAGTCGCAGGAGGAGCTGACCAAAAGCACCCGGATTCGGCTGGAGAAGGAGTGCGAACGACTAGAGCTAGAGCTTCGTCGCACGCGCGACAATGTGCTGATGAACTCCGAGAAGCTGGACTACAACTACCAGGTTCTGCAAAAGCGCAACGAGGAGAACGTGATCATCAACAACCAGCAGAAGCGAAGAGTGGCCCGCCTGCACGAGGCCATTGGACACACCCGGCGTGGCCTGAAGAATCTCTATCTCAACGGCAAGCGGAGCATAGCCCGTCTCTCGTCGGACATCTACAAGCTGCACGCCAACATCAACGACATGGAGTCGAAGGCGCATCAGGCGCGGCTAAATAACCGCGAGAAATTCGATCGCATCTGGGAGATCAACTACAAGGAGCTAAACCTTCTGGTGGATCGCGTCTACCACATCGATCGCATCATACACGAGCAGCAGCTGGCCATGCCGTGGTCCAGCCCGGTGCCACCCATTCCGAACATCAACAAGTCCAAGAAGAAGCGCAATAATATTCTGGAGAGGTTCGACATGCGGATTGGGCGAGTGCCCAAGAACCGGATAAGGTCAAAGTCGGCCATAAAGCACCGACCGGATATCAAGGAGCTGCCGCCAGAGTCGTTGCGCCTGATGCGCAACCTCATCCGCAAGCTATCCGACCGCGGTGGTTTCCTGATCGAGGAGCAACTTCTCAAGATCCTGGAGCCCAACACAGTGGGGGAAAAGTGCCTGGTGCGCATCGACAACATATTTGCGGCCCTGCGCATCCGTCATTTGCGGGATGTCAATGAGCTGACAAAGGTGTTCATGCCATACACCTACTGTCCCACCTGCCAGCCGCAGGGATTGAGTCCGCTCAAGTGTGCCGAGGTGTTTATGAAGGATCAAAAGCCCAATCGATTGCAAACCCAGCCGATGCAGGCACATCAGGAACAGCAGGAGCATCGGCCCACTGAGGAAGCGGATGGGGATCGATTGGGGGAGCTAAAGGCCTTTCTAGCCAAGGGCGAGGAGTCGGCAAAGCGTTGCCCCAATCACTACCTGGTCATGGAACCAGCTCTATGCCTGCACGCCATGAATCTCTTCACCTCCAAGATGCACAAACAGATGTACGAACACGAACAGAGCAGCGTTCACAATGCCGTCAATCTCATCCAGATCACGGACACTGAAATCCGTGACTTCTGGCGTCAGTTCTCCGCCTGTTTCCCGGCCTCCAAGTGCAAGCTATGGAAGACACTGGAGCACGGCCTGAATCACTATGTGGAGGTGCTCAAGATGCGCGTACAGTACGACGCGGAGGTCGTGTTCCTGCGCCGCCAGAACGAGGAGTTGCGCCACCTGCTCCAGAAGTTCACCGTCTAGCTACGATTCGCACTAAGGTCTAGTCTTAGCTGCATATCGAATTTCACTGAGAAATCCCAATCAATTATTGTTCAAATCCATCCAAACATGATAAATTTTAATTGTGCCTAGTCTTGCTCTTTGACATTGCTATCGATCGAATCAGTCCAGAGACGTGGAATAAAGGGCACCATTTTAAAGAACAACACATAAGCATTTTGGGATTACTTAATAAAATTTTAAATTGAACTACTGTGTTAAATTTTTAAATGTTTAAATTTTTTAATGGGATAGAAGAAACTTTCCTTCACTATGTTGTTAGTTATTTCTAACAAGAAAATAACTTTTTTAAAGAAATACTTTAATTTACCCTCTATATAGACTTTTGTCTTGCTCTAAACTATGACTAACTGCTGATGACTGTTATTATAACAATACCCCGCTTGCAAATGTATCTAACGACATTTGAATACCTTCATGGAAGTACATAGTTATCAGTTATTATTTTATCAGTTAATATTTTTTAGTGAAATTAAATTATTTGTAGCTCCAATAGACTTGGACTACCCCATCCGAAAATGTATTTTAGCCCCACCTATGTATGCAAACTGTCCCCCCAAATTGACGATCTACAATGTTTGATTTGCTTTGAATTTCATTTCGAACTTTGAATCCGTGGGAAATGGGTGGCGATGGATGATCTCTCGTCGACGGGAAACACCTTCGATCTGAGTTGGAGTTTTCCGCCATAGCTACCTACCACTTTGCTATACGAAAACAAACGATTAGGGCTGTTGCACAGGGTCTTATCAGGGCAACCCGATAAAGTTGAGCGCTAGAAAAATGGTCGGTTATACATGTTTGTGGAGTAGTAGTAGTAGTCGGGGTCGGTTGGGGGATCGTCCAATTGGCTCAAAGTGCGCAACACCGCCAGCGTTTAAAGTGCAGACCGGACTAATCATTCATTTATAGGCAAACTTTATTGAACATTTCGATAAAATAAAAAACAAGCGACCACCAACCCGCTTGTTTTCTTTGATTCACCCATGGCCAACAACTACAACCTGTAATAATACTACATAATTAAACAAGGCGTAATCTTATCGACGCTTGCTTGGACTCCGTTGGCTTTATTTTTTTATGTGCGATGCCGGCGGAAGTCTTGGACGGCAGTTGGCGAAACAGCAGCAATCCGGACGGAAGCGAAGCACCAACATGCGATCTACAGATCTCATATCCGTAACGGATATGAGTTTCCCGCAAGAGGATCAGAGTAATTATGGCGTTTGCCTCGAGGATTTGCAACTGTTTGCCCAACTGGAAGATCTATCCGGAGAAAGAGGGCCAATGGATATGGGTTCCGAGTGTGATCTTTTGGAACTTGTGAATGGGGTAAGAAGTGGGAATTTATTATCACGAAAATCAAAAAATTATTAGATAAATATATGGGTTTGTGAAACAGCTTTAAAGCTTGGTATCTACCTTATTTAAAACTTATAGTATATTTTAATATGAATTAAAGTAGATACGAGTTGCAACAGTTTTTTAAAGAATATTCCATATAAAAGATAAATATTTTTTTTTTGAACCAAATATTAAAAATCTTGAAAAAAAATATATTTTGTTATATAACGTGCATTTTAGCATTTTAAAAATTGAATAGATCTTTTGACCGCAACAAAGTAATAATAATAATATATATATATTAAATATATATAGGCTCTCCAGCAGCAGAACACCATCACCGCAGAACAGAAACCACTGGATATATGTAAGCCCAAGCGGGCTCCACCCGCTAGACGAAACCAGAAAGCTGGAAAGGATCACACCTGCGACGTATGCGGCAGACGCTTCTCGGAGGCCTACAATCTGCGCATCCACAAGATGACCCACACGGACGAGAAACCGCATGTTTGCGAGGACTGCGGCAAGGGATTTCGGCAGCTGAACAAGCTTCGCATCCATGCGGTAACCCATACGGCGGAACGGCCACACAAGTGCGACATTTGTGGCAAGGGATTTCGGTACGCCAATTACCTGGCTGTCCATCGACGACTCCACACCGGCGAGAAACCGTATCCATGTTTGGTCACAGACTGTCATCTCTCCTTCCACTCCATCCATGCCCGTCGCATCCACACGAAGCTGAGGCATGCGGCGCAAATGGATCCGGAGCAAACGCTGGCGGAGCAGGAGCAGCGGGAGTCGTCCGTGCTCAGTTTCACCTGCCCGGTTTGCGGCCGGGTCCTCACGGATCAGTGCTACCTGAGCATCCATCTGAAGAGGCACTACAACCAGCGGGACTTTGCGTGTCCGCATCCGCAGTGCGAAAAGAAATTCTTCAGCTCCTCGGAGCTGAAGCACCACCAGATCTCCCACTCCCAACTGCGTCCGTTCGCCTGCCCACTCTGTCCAGCTCGATTCCTGCGCAAATCCAACCACAAACAGCACCTCAAGGTGCACGAACGCTGACGGAAAGCTGGTTGTACACAGTGCAGCAGTTTCATTAGTTTGCTGTCCAACTTTGACATAAACTTTTGATTCTCTTTTTATCAAAGAGTACTTGTTTGTTAGGGAAAGGCTTGCAAATTTCTATATTTTGCTCTGTTTGAAAGAGCATTAACAAATTTAATGATACAATTTCTAGTATTGTTAGCATAAAAATCATAAGCTAGCATGAAAGTGCAAGCGCAAGCCTTTCCACTACCTACTCAAATCCAATCCATGAAATCTGAGATACGCCCTACCCAAACCTCATTGTAATTGTGCTTGGGCTGGGCCTTCCATTCAATATAAGTGTTTATTAATATATACGAATTCTGTTTGTCTTTATCTGCATGCTTGCATATTAGATATATGTATATATTTGTATTTATACTTTATAAAGTTACGGGTACGGGGTTGCTGATTCTCTGGTTGTGTTCTCGTCCGATCTGCCGATCGGATTTGAGGACTGCTGACTGTTGCTGTATGTTCGCCTTCTTTGCTTTGCTTTGTTTCGTTAGGCATAACTTAAAGATTACATTACATTATTAGCGGGTTTAGCCGGATATACAATACATAAAACAATTAATTAATCAAAAAACCCGAGGGCGGTTCAAAACCGTGATTTGAGCCAATTAACAAAACAAAATCTCGGTCGCGGTCGTTTATTCGATTGATTGCCAATCAGGATTAACTGTCTTCACACAAAACTACGTGAGAAACTTAAAAGCAACAAAGGGGTAAAACAATAGACAAAACTTAAATTAAAGGTACGCCGAAGCCAGATGGCAAGAGCGGCGGTACAGATATTTTTGGTTGTAACAGCGAAGCAGTGAACAAAAAAAAAAAATTTTTAATAATCAGCAAGGATAGCAAGGAAGTAAAACCAAATTGAAGTCGAACTTAAACTGATTTGGGCTCTTTAAATGTCAATATAAGCTAGCGAATTTTGTTACATATATAGACTTAAGATCTAGACCCAAGAAAAACGTGCACTTGCCAAGCAAAATCCGCTCAACACCGGCAAACCATATTGCATATTGATTCCAACACAAATGCTTAAGCTATTGGTTCGAATCCAAAGGGTGATAAGGAAATTAGAATCTCTCATTTGGTACACAATAAATGCAGTTCTGAACAAAATGGGACCATTAGATGGGTCTGACTTGGTTTGCGGCACACAAATTTTGTTGGGCAAGTGCTTTACATATAGGATATATGATCGCATTTTACGGATATTACGACTAACAAGAGCTGCTTAATCTGCTGACTTCATTTTGAGAGTTGACGAATTTTTAACACACACACGTACTAAGCGAAAATCCAAACGTGTAACAACCATCATCAAACGGATATATCTATAATCCCATACTCGATCAAGTGGAGGTCCTGCGTGAATAATTTCATTCTTTTGGTCTTATGTACATTTGCAATGTATGGTAGAGTGTGTCTGTGTGTGTAAGCTTCAAGCTTGATAAATCCCAGTTCCTGTTTTGCTCATCCTTATCCTTATCCTTTTCATTTCTTTTCTTTTCTTTTTGTTTCAAATCACCGATATAATTGTTTTGCTTCTTTCTCAAAGAATTTTGACTCTCTCGCTTCTAGCGCTAACCAACTCTACGCACACAGATTCGGGGTTCTTTTGGTTTTGTGTGTTCCTGGTCGGTTTCATTTAGGTTATTTTTTTGCTCATTTTTGTGTGTAAAATGTTTAAAAAAATTGTTGCTTCTTATCGAAAACTGTAACTCTTCACGTTTCCACCTACACAATATATAGTCCTAAACTTGTAACGCCAAATACATGCTCTCTCTCTTTCATATATGCTTGTAAAGATATATATATCCCACATGTAAGTGTGTGCTCTTTGTATATAGATATATCTGTATCTGTATCTGTATCTGGTTTGCATCTACCACTGGTTTTCAATTACTCAAGTATGTACTCGTATATAATTTGCCTGAACTTATTTCATATGTGCTCTCAGAATTTTTCTTGGTTTTCTCTTTGAAACCAATTCCGATTCTCATTTTGCTTTCCCGTCGAGGTTCTGACAAGTAACACTGAAGAAGTGTGTGAGTTTTATAAACATAAACAAAGAAATTTATAGTATTTTCGGTTTTTGCGAGCCTTTTCAAGAAATACTTGGTAGGACAGACGGTTCAATAATTAGTTCAGCAAGATTTGAATTTCCGCATGCCCAGCTATTCTTCGTTTTAAATTTGTACACTTTCTTGCCGATTTATATTTAATTTTCCTGGTTAATACCTTTGCAAAGGTATTTCAATCTTTAACTGCATATATGCTCAGGTAGTTTAAATAAAAATCGATCAAAAGTAAGCAATTTTGAAATTCGAAATTTTTTGCCAATAAGACTGAGTAAATGTAACTGAATGCAGCAAATTCTTGAGGATGGTATCCTTGCTGCTGCAGTTCTTCAGTGTGACTTGTCAGCGCCGTACTGGGCTTTCTTGGTTTCTTGTCAGCTCAAAATGGGCTTAATCTCCGTCGCTTACGGTGCGGGCAACTGGGAAGGGGAAAATTGAAAACCGGAACCGGCCGCTGCGCTTACGACATGGAGCTGCACGGCAGCCGCGGCGAACCCATCTGTGTGAGCACGCGATCCAGCCACTGGAGCGGCCCGTTCAGATGGAGTTCGATCCAGCAGGGCGTCGAGGTGACCGTCTGGCGGCGATACTCGGCACCCCAGCCCTTTACGAACGACATGCGGATGGTGCACATGCGCGTCAACTGGTAGACGGCCTCGAAGCCCTGCGACACGGACTGCGACAGCAGGGCGGCGAACTCCTGGTTGTTGAAGATCTTCAGGTTGCAGCCGGGCGGGATCTTGCAGACGGTGGCCGGATGCCAGCCGTAGCGCTGGTTGCAATTCGGGCTCTGTACAAAGATGGACGAGTCGCTGAGGCATTCGGCGAACACTTCCCCGCCAATGTAGTACAGCCGTACTCCCTTGCCAATGTGACGACGCGTCTGCTCCACGACCTCGTTGCGATTCACATTGGACAGCAGGCCGAGGCAGAAGCGCTCCGAGTTGGAGGGATCGGTGAAGCCGTCCACCGTGATCGATGGCTGCGAGGCGTGGAAGGTCTCGCCGACGCGCGTATTCAGCTCGTAGTAGGAGATGGAACACCAGAAGGCCGGCTCGTGGTACATCACTGGGGCTGCATCGGCGGGCGGCGTTAGACGCGACATGTTCATGTTGTCGTTGGGATCGATGGGGTCACCATCCTCGCTCATATAGCCGGGCGGAGGGGTGCCGGTGTTGGGAATGCTGCTGCCCACGCTGAGCACACTCGACTGCGAGTCCATGTTTTGGCCAAAGGACAGCTGCTGCTGCTGCTGTTGGTAGGCGGAGGCGGCGGACGAGGACGACGAGGAGGAGGAGGCACCACCGCCTCCGGCGGCTGTGGCGGGTGTCGAACTGGTGGACGATACGGAAACGGGCCCGGCACCGCCCAATTCCATGTACTGCGGCGGACTCAACGAGGCGCTGCGGATTATCGCCGCATTGTAGTCGGTGTTGTTGGGTATCTGGTGCGTATGGTTGTCCAGCGGATAGTCCACAATGGAGTCGGGCGGCGTGGGCAGCGATTTGGGCACCAGGATCGACAATTCGATCTTCTTGTAGTGGTACGGATTGATGCAGATCTCCTCTTTGCGCAGATGGAAGGCGTATTCGCAGTGGTCGAGGGGCTTTAGTTCATTCTGCGACTGGAGATCCGGCCAGCGCCACAAACGGCAGTAGATGACGTGCGGCAGACCCTTGCGCAGATGCTCGCCGGCGGGAGCTGGCTTGCTGCGCGGCACCGTCACGCACCGCGTCTGGCAGTTCTGTGTGGAGATCGCCCGCTCTAGCTCCTCCAGCTGCGAATTCTTCTTGATCTTCTTGACCAGATTCTTGACGGCCTTCTCCGACCACTTGCCCTCGACGCTGTTGTCCTCGTTGCCCTTTTTGAGTGCTAACAAACGCTTGACCACCTGCGGGGTGAATGGCAACATCTCAGGGTCTCAAGGGGAGTTCTCCTGGTTCCGGGTTTCCTCCACTCGTCCACTTGCTCCTCGTTCCCGTGGAATAGTGGAATGGTAATGGTGCTCACTTTGTTTTTCTCCTTTTTTTTTTTTGTGTTTGTTCGATCAGCTTGTCTTGAATACTGGAACTGCGCTCCTTCCACTCCTTTTTCGCGTGTATGTTTTTGATCTGGAATAGTGGAATAAGTTTAGTTGTGCGTGTTTCAGCAATTAAAACCTGATAATTGGCTTGCATGTGTGTGTGTGTGTGTGTGTGCGGTTGGATCTGATAAAAGCCAGACCCTGATGACGATGTTTGTGATAATTGCCGGAACGTGTGTATAAATCTATTAACTTTTAATTCAGATTTCTTCCAAATTTCGATTTCCAACTTCCACAAATAAAATCGCAAATCAAAAACGCAATCTTTCAGTGCAATCGTCTGCGTGGGTTGCTATTGTCGCTATTGTTGTTGTCCCCAACAAGGTCAAATGTCTGCGTTTGCAGACGCTTTTTTTGTTGAGTTACAGCAGCCACAGAAACAGAACTAGAATATTTATATACATATACGCCTAATCTGTGGGCAGCTTGGAATTTTCCATCTTATCGAAGGCGCAATAAATTACCGAAAACAACAAAAACCACAAGCGTCGCAAGCAGGAGGGGTTAAAAAAAATTATAAAATGTGCATGAAAATTGCACACACAAACACACAGACGGACAGCCGCTATGGAATGTATCCATGTATCCACACACTTGTCTGTATGTATATATATTACCTGCCCTGAAGGCATCTAATAGCTATAGCACCATCCATTTATGTTAGCATTAAGCTTTAACTATAGGTTAGCATTATATAAATAAATAAATAAATAAATATATTACCTGTAACGGTACCGGCAACTCGAGCTCCTCTGCTGCTCCTTCTCTTGCTCCTTTGGCTGCTAAATGGTGCCCTCTCACTCGCACGCACACTGTTTCCAGATCCAGAACGGTAACCAAACGGCACCGGAACCGGGCGCACACATCCAGGCGAGAAGGCAACGTCGGGGGCGGCTGTCTGGAAAGGGGGCGTGGGGCGTTTGGGGGCCACTGCTTTTTCAAATTTCTGTGTGTATATATCTTGTGCGCGCGCCAGAAAGTGACAGCTATACGCACACGCACACTAATAAACAGAAACCGCACACCGACACGAGAACACTCAAACACACAGGCACAACAAGAACAGAGAATATTTATTATAATGCCTTTTCTTGTTGTTTGTTTCTTTGGCTGATCTTTCAAACGTTAAAATATATATACTTTTTCAGTTTCCTTTTCACCAACACAACTTGATAAAGCTAATTTAATTTTTTGCGTTTCGCGATTTTGCGAGCAAAGATGCAGTGTGCCCAAACTTGGTGCCCAACAAAGTGTAACCGACTGTAAATCGCGACTTTTTGAATAAAATACTAAAAAGGCACCAGCGCATGAAAAACGCACTAATGCCAGCATCGGTGAAAGATGGTGTGGAACTTGGGAACGGAAAGTTAATTATTTAATGATGAGAAACTTAGATAAAAAGTTGGCTCCAAAATTAAGCAGTAACACGAAATATTTTACTATTCTTTACTTTTTAAAGGCAGAATTTTTGTAATATATTATTATATAATTATTATTAATTTCTCATGAAAATTTTTTTAGAAGCGAACGATTTTTGTTTGGCCGAGCAACGATAAATTCTTTTTCTTTCATTGTGAGGTATATATATTTATATATTCTCATCACAGTAGGCCTATTTTTATACCCTTATAATTTCAGTCAGTGAAGGATACATTTGCGAGCGTATAAAGTATATTTATTCTTGATCAGCCATGTCCGTAGATGTTTTAAGAAGTCTTTAATTTTTGCAATAACTGCAAGGGTATATATGCTTCCTTTTCTTGTTGAGGGATATTTTAAATGAGTGAGTGATATTTGAAAAATTGGGTATTAATTATCGGTAATTATCAACTAAAGTAGTCAAGTGCGCGAGGCGCGCCAGGATTTCTGCAGCGCCTGCTTGACAAGCTCATCCGGCGAGGGCGTCTCGAAGCGGAATCTCTTGACCTGACTGCCGTAATCCTCCCGCTGGCACATCCTCAGATGCTGCCGCTCCAGCCGCGTGACGGCGTACTCCAGCCGGGGTGTCCTCGGTTTTGGATAGCCCACCACTGCGTCCAGCATGTGGCCAATGGGCCCTGGTTGCTCCCGAAACTCGGTATTCGCGGGCGTCTGGTCGGCCAGCTCGTCGTCGCCCTCCGCGTGGAGGGATCTCCGCGTGGCGGGATCTCCGAGCAGACCGCCAGTGGGGGTGCACCTTCGACCTCGATCGCAGGCAATGAAGGGTATGACAAAGTTCTCCCGGCTGGTGGTGGTCAGCTGGCGTGTCTTGCTCGCCGACTCCTTGGGCGGCGCGTCCTTGTTCCCGGCTATCACCGTGGACGAGAGGTCAATGAGTGGTGTTGTGGCTCCATCGCCTGCAACGTCCCCGATCTGCAGTTGATCCACACCTCGCTCCAGTCGGGATAAAAGGGGTATATTCATGGGTATGTCCTTTGGCGTCGTTCCCAGTTGGGGAATCACAAATCCCGCGGATGGTCCTTTGTTCTCGCTCTCGGATCGCTGGCGTCGCCGCAACTGGATCTCGTTGAGCAGCAACTGGTTGTGGGCGTCCGCCGCTTGACGGGATGCCCGCTGGGCAAGCGCATCCGTATCCGTGGATGCCTGCAGTTGCAATTGTGGAATCTTCAGCTGCGGAATGACAAATCTGGGCATCGTTTGTGGGGAATTGCTATTTGTACTTGTACTGCTCAATTTTGACGAAACACTGGCGTCCTGGAGGCCAAATTTGGCTTGGATTGCCTGGTGGAGGGTATGCGTTGGATTGGATGTCATTTTTAGGGCCAAAACTCCAGCGGACGATGACAAATTTGTTTGTTATTGTTTTCTTCGCGGGTACGTGTGTGTGCTGGGTTTCGTTGTATGTGTGCGTATGTGGGGGTGTGACGAATATTTTGAGGCAGGGTTGTCACATGGTTTGTAGATCTTCTCACCTCGATAAAATAAATTATTTAAGTAAGTTTGCATGCAAATTTTTTGCACAAACCTCATTTAATTCGTAACAAATCATGCTTTTTTTTTGGAAAAGCCAACTTAACATTTTTTGCACAATATTTTTAATGCACTCGACACCCTTAATAACAGCCGATCTCTATTCAGTGCTGAACAACGGCATTCAGATTTAAATAAATCTAAATAAGGGCGGCAAAATTGGAATGATGTTTTCTTAATAAATTTAATATATTCTTTTCATATTTTAAAAATGAATGTTGGGAAAAATATGAACATTATTTTAATTTTCAACTTTTCCGAATTAAAGAATGGCTGTTTAATTAATTTGAACTATAAATTTCGACAACTATTTGTATGCCCATTTAAACAATTTTTTGTTGTGGTGGCAATTTGATTTATAAATATTTTTGGAACATTCGTATGTGAAAAAAATGCTTTTTGATCGCAGGTCCTAAGGTTTCTAGGGCTTTAAGCGTGGTCCAGCCGGCAGATTGGGCCCTCCTCCACCATCTTCAGATCCACCTTGGGTCCGACCAGGTCCCGAATGTTGTTGATGCCGTACTTGATCATGGTGGGTCGCTCCAGCGACAGACCCCAGGCGATCACGTTTACGTTCTCCGGCAGTCCCATGGGCAGCAGCATCTCCGGCCTGAAGACACCCGAGTTGCCCACCTCGATCCACTTGGCCAGGCCGGGATGATAGCAGAAGATCTCCATGCTGGGCTCTGTGTACGGATTGTACGCAGGCTTGAATTCCAGCTGCGTGATGCCCAGTTTCCTGAAGAACTCGTACAGCGTGCCAATGAGATCGCCCAGCGTTAAGCCGACATCTGCGATCACACCCTCCACTTGATGGAACTCCGCCAGATGGGTGGCGTCCAGGGTCTCGTTGCGGAACACCTTGTCGATGCTGAAGTACTTGGCCGCCTTGAAGCCGCCCTCCTGGTTGGCCAACTTGTACAGCATTCTCGCACTCACGGCCGTGGTGTGGGTGCGCAGCAGATTCTTTTGCGCCTCCTCCAGCTTCCAGTCGTAGCCATAACCCTTGGATCCATAGCCACCCACCGAGTGCACCTTCTTGACGCGCTCCAGATAATCCTGCGGAAACTTGTGGCTCTTGGCCGGATTGTTCACGAAGAATGTGTCATGGGCATCGCGAGCCGGATGCTGTTGTGGCTGATACAGTGCGTCAAAGTTCCAGAAAGACGACTCCACGTAGTTGTTGGTGGGCATCTCAGAGAAGCCCATCTCGAGGAATATCTGCCGGAACTCAGTGCGCACTTTGAGCAACGGATGCAGATGTCCACGCGTTGGTGGCGCACCCAAGGCATCAAAGTTGTACGACTTGAACTTGAGCTGATCCCACAAGCCGCTGGCCAGCATTTCCACGGTGAGATCCGTCTCCAGCTTGGTGAGAGTGGTGGCAAACTCGGGGCCACGGGTCAGGACAAAGCTCTTGGTGGTGGTCTCCTGCAGGAGCTTACGTTTCTTGAAATCGGCCACCTCCTTGGCGGGCAGTTGGTCCCCCTTGCCCTTGGCCACCTGCTGCAGTTGCTCTCGCACCGAATCCGTAATGGTGTCCACTTTGCGCCGCACTAACGGCGGACTGACGCTCTTGTCCACCAAAATCCAGCCGTGGGACATGGCCTTGCTGAAGCCCACTTTGGCATTCGGTCCGCCGGCGGCCATCAGAGCGGCTTGGGCGATTCCCTCCGGCGGCACTAAGGCGTAGACCAGGGCCTCGTGACTGCCGTGCTCCACAACGGCGCGCCCTTCGTCCGTGAGGCCCAGGCTCTTGTGAGTGGCCGTTTCCGCGGTGACCAGTTCGCCATGCGCCTGGATGCTCTTCAGGGCACCCACTATCTTCTGGTGATCCTCGGAGAAGAGGCCGGCCAGGTCCAGGGTGTCCACCTTGTCGGCGGTCTCCAGATGCTGGAGAATGCGCTCCGTGAGATCGGGATGCATCGCTGGCAGATATATGGCTTCAAATAAATGGTAAATTCGATGCCGGAATGCGAAATCGAAATCTCGTGTTGCGTTTTGCCACACCGCAGGATTGAGCAGTGCTGGAAAGCCCGCCAACGCCAGTGTTGCCTACTGACGGAATTGAACTGGCTAGGCTAATCAGACATTTGAATAGGATTTAAAAAAGCTAAATGCTTTTTCAAACTGTTTAAAAAATTATCCATTTCCATTCAAGCAAGAAGATTAATTTTCAAATAGAAAATTGCACTGAATTGAATTGTTATATTAAGATGATTTTTTGTTAAAAATCTGATCTGAAAATTAGAGAATTGAAAATTAAGAATCCGTTTTAGCTGACACATTTCCAGCTAGTCTACACAATGTAAACTCCACCTAGAATAATAATCAAATCCCTATATAGATTTTTAATAAAACTTTTTAAACTAATAATGACCTAAATTGGACTTTAAAATCTTAGAAGAGAAGAGTTTGCCGAAAATATTCCTAATGTTGGGAAAATTCCAATAAGAAATGTCTTCCAAATAGTTTTTTGTAAAATAATTATTTAAAAAACTTATCAAAACAATAAATAATACTTAAAGAAAATTGTAAACGATTGAATTAGAATAGAATTTAAGCTTTACAAACTAGCTAGTTTTCACGCTATTTAACATCACGGCAGCTCCAATAAGAACAGCTGTTGACGCCTAGCAACACTAAAAGTTTGCGTTGCTTTTTTTTTAACGAAAATATTCGAAAAAAGGACGCGAATCCTGGCGAGCAACGGCCAGGTGGGAGCCGCAACCATGCTCAAGTCGCTGAAGCCGGACACATACGCCGGGATGGCGAACGCCAAGTGCGGCGAGATCTACTTCCAGAGCCTGCACAGCTTCCGCATCGACTGTGCGTTCTGCGAGATGAAGAGCTTTGTGTTCGGGGACTTCCTGCTGCACGTCCAGAACGTCCACTTCGAGAACGGGCTGCTGAAGACGGAGGCGGCGGACGCGGGAGTGGACCTGAAGCAGGAGCGGGAGCACGCCTCGCCGGTGCCCATTGTGGCGCAGGTGAATCCGTTTGCCTGGTACGAGATCGGCGGCGACGAGGAGGAGGACAGCGAGGACGAGCGGGGTGCCCTCGAGCGGGAGCAGGACGAGGAGGAGGAGGAGCGACCCGGCAGGACCATCATGAAGTGGGACAACGCACACAGCGCACAAACGGCTGCGGGCAGCGAATGTCTGCGTCAAGTCAGAGCCCTCAAGGTGGACTACAAGGAGGAGGACTCCGATCAGGAGGAGAGCGGCATCAATCTGGACCTGGACACCCTAGAAACCAGGCATTGCCTGAAGCCACCTCCTCACTCCTGCCCGCACTGCACGAAGGTCTACCAGAGCCGTAAGGTCCTGGAACGCCACATAATGCGCCAGCACAAGGATGATGCCGCCTCTCCAGATCCCGACAGCGATCCGGATGCGGACTACGAGCCGCCCAGGGATGCGCCCGCCTCCAAGTCGTCCGGCCAGGAGCACAAGTGCGAGCACTGCGGCAAGATCTACCACGGCAAATACAGCCTGAGGCAGCATTTGAAGCGGGATCACGACAACGGCGATGATGGCGGAGGCTCCGCCACCACCTTCACCTGCCTGGAGTGCGAGGCCCAGTTGCCGCGCCTCCGCCTGCTGGACGAGCACATGGTGCAGGCCCACGGCGGAGCGGCCTGCGTGGTGTGCGGCCGACGGTACAAGACGCGTCACGAGCTGAAACGCCACCAGCTGAAGCACACCAGCGAACGGAACGTGCCGTGCCCGCATCCCGGCTGCGGCAAGCGTTTCTTCACCGTGCGCCACATGCGCAACCACGGCAAGGTGCACACGGAGCAAAAGAATTTTGTGTGCGAGAGCTGCGGCTACAGCTGCCGGAACAAGGAGACGCTGCGCGTTCACATCCGGAGCCACACGGGCGAACGGCCCTTCGGCTGCCAGGTGTGCGACAAGCGGTTCCCCTCCCACTCCGGCCTGCGGGAGCACATGGCCATGCATTCCACGGAGCGACCGCATGTGTGCAGCGTCTGCGGAGCCACCTTTTCGCGGCAGAAGGGCCTGTACCATCACAAGTTCCTGCACGCGGACACCAAGCAGTTCGTGTGCAAGCTCTGCGGGAATGCCTATGCCCAGGCGGCCGGACTCGCTGGCCATATGCGCAAGCACCGCAACGACGAGCTCAACGGGTAGGGTCAGTAGGGTCAATAAGGTCAGTGGGATCGGCAGGATCCTAAGGATATAGACTAAGTTGTACAAGCGATTTGTATCTTCCAATTCCGATGTTTAAGTTTAGGAACTCAGGCATAGGCTTTAGGAGACAGCCATAATTAATGGTTTTTTTTTTTATTGCTCCGGTTTGTTGACGGACCAAAAGTTGTGTGTTTGTTTCGGTCTTCATTTCACGGATTTCCATAGAATTTATTTGGCACATAGTGTAAATAATTGGTAAACTTCCTCTAGAGGTAAGGTAAACTACAAGTTGTTAATTTGTTTAAGTTTAAATGTAGGAACTGTGGAGAATAGTTTTTAATTCTTTTGCGCAAATGTAAATATTTATATAATATTGAAACATTTTAAGCCACTTTGAGTAAACTGAGTGAAACTGTTTATTATTGTGACACTTTTTTTTATTTTTTAATTCACTAAGATTGACTCGAATGTATACTAAACATTGTTAAAGATAAACTACATTTTAAGGCCATTTAACGAAATGCTTCCAACAACCGAATCAATTCGGATGGAGTCATGTGAAAGGGAAACCGTAACGAAACATCCTGGTAATAAGCCGTAATCCCGGCCAGCGGATGTGGCTAATATTCGAATTGGAAATCCCACTTTGGAAACGGTGCGATGATTTCCGCGGTTAACCTTTTTGTAATGATAAATATATAGCAGAGAATCTGATTCACAAAAGAGCCCACCTGGTGCCGCGTTTAAATTTAAATTTAGCCAAACCATTTGGTTCTCTTTTGACAGCAATTAATCGGCCGACCGCTGAAGCGGCCAAATGCCAACTGGTAAATCGGTGCGTCTAACAATAGTGCCGGCGATTAGCACAATTTGGCACAAGCAGACGCGGCGCGACCATGTCGTCGGAACAGGCGCCTCCAACTCCAAGTTCGGATGGTGCTGGTCGGCGACTGATGTGCGAGTTTTGCGGCTATCAAACGGGCATCCATTGGAATCTGCAGATCCATCGGCGGCGACACACGGGCGAGAAGCCCTTCAGCTGTGCCACGTGCCAGGCGAGCTTCCCAGCCAGTTACCAGCTGAAAACCCACCTGGAGCGGCACCAGGACGCCGGGCAACGTCGCCTGCGACACATTTGCGCCGACTGCAATGTGGGTTTCTCCAGTTCACGGGCCCTGTACCATCATAGGCCGCTCCACGAGAATGGGAAGCGCTTCAAGTGCTCGCAGTGCGACAAGTCATTTGCCCAGGCGGCGGGCTACGCCCAGCACAAGCGGATGCACCGGCAAAGGAATCAACGGGCCACGGATCTAAGGGATCCGCAGGCCATTGAAGATTCGGCAAAAAGTCAGAAGTGACTTTTCTGGGCGGCGGAAGTTTATCTCGTTTCAATAAATTCAAAAAAGTAACCGTGTTAGTTTAATTTTAAAATTTTCAATGGCTTTTTCCCAATTCTTAATAATAACGCTTAAAAGTCAACTAAATGCTTGTGTAAAATTAAAATCAAGATTTTCATATTTTGAATTGAACTTGAAATTGACAGTTGAACCGGTTGACCGGTAGTTCTCCACCCTGGTTCGAGGCCGTGCTAATTATCTGTCGAATTTCCCTCCCTGGTTCGAGACTTCACTATCTATCGAATATCATCAGAAAACCTATCGAAGTTTTGTTTACATATTTTATTTTGATTTTTGTTTAATGCAAAATTGCAACTTTGGATGCGAATTAGCTGGCGCAGAATGCTGAGACACTGCCTCGCCAACGTGGACTACGTCCGCCTGCACGCCCAGCAGCAGTTGCGTCCGAAATGCGGCGAGATCTTCTACGAACAGGAGGCCGATAGCTTCCAACTAATTTGCCTGCTCTGCGAGATGAAGCACTTTGGGTTCGAGGACTTCGCCCGCCACATTCGCAACGTCCACTTCGACCAGGAGGGCAGGCCACTGACCCAGACGGTCACGGGATCGAGAACAGGAACTGAAGATTCTGCTCAGGACAAAGCATCGCCTCTGCTGGTGGTGGCCAGCCTCAAGGAGGAGTTCCTGGCCAAGGAGGATATCATTGATATGGATACCCAGGCAGAACTGGAACTGGAGCAGGATCAGGAGGATGGAAATCCATTGCGTATCATGGCGCTTGAGGATAAATACTCCGAGGATGAGGAGGCCATCGATACAAAGTGGCAGCCAGATCCTGGCAGTTCCTCCGACTCCGACCACGGAGGTTGCGACCTGGAGGCCCTGATGGGCGTCGAAAATCCACAGGATAACCAACAGGATGACGACGAGGACCAGCAGTCCGTTTTTAAGGTAGCCACAAAGATATTTTATACTTTAAAGTCAATTAATCGGACAGACCATTTTTATACCCAAGCTCTGAAATCATTTAAGAAATAATCATAATTGTATAGCGAAATGAGGTTGCTTAAAGTTATATAAATAATTTCTGAATATTGCTGAAGCAAACCCCGCATATATTTACATTTTAATTTACAGACCCTAGTGGTCATCCATTCTTAATATAAAAATTAGGAAGTATTGTACATAAAATGTTTTTAAGCGGACAAGAATTGTTTTTGCCTTCATTCTCTAATAGCTGAATATGTTCGATTTGCAGAAGCAGCGCCAGCCGAAGGACTACAACTGTACGCACTGTGATCGCAAGTACACCACCCAGAAATACCTAAACACGCACCTGAAGATGAGCCACCCGCACCCGCAGGCGTTCAAGTGCGGCGACTGCGAGGCCACCTTCGATGTGGACCGTGCGTTGGCCCAGCATCGTCGCAAGGAGCACACCGAGTTCGCCTGCCAGCTGTGCGCCAAGGTGTTCAAGAGCTCGCGCTCCCTGCTCCGCCACGTGCAGGGTCACTCCGGCGCACGGACCTACAAGTGCGAGCACGAGAACTGTGGCAAGTCGTTCGTCAATCAGCACAACCTCACCTCGCATCGACGGGTTCACAACGAGGAGCGGAACTATGTGTGCGAGCTGTGCGGCTATAGATCCCGCTACCGGGAGGCGTTGATCGTCCACCGGCGCACCCACACGGGTGAGAAACCCTTCCAGTGCCAGACCTGTGCCCGCAGCTTTGCCTCCAAGTCGCTGCTCAACGAGCACCAGGCGATGCACTCCACCGAGAAGCCCTACAAGTGTGACAAATGTGATTCGGCCTTCTCCCGCCCGAAGGCCCTGTACCACCACAAGCATCTGCATTTGGGCATCAAGAAGTTCAAGTGTAAGATCTGCGGCAATGCCTATGCTCAGGCGGCGGGTCTGTCCGCTCACATGCGGGCGCACAAGCTCCAGGCGGCGGCCAATGCGACGGAGGGTGTCGAGGCGGAACCCATCGAGATGCTGTTCACCTACTGACCGAATTGGGGATAGCTTAACGAGAACATTTGTATTTCTAAAGACATTATTTTCACATAACATCTACGATGCATCACACAACTACGTCCATAGTTTACTTGTTCGTTGTACAAGTTATTTTAGTTCAGGTTACACTATCACTAAACACTTTTTCACATATCTGCCATAGTTTTAAACAAGCGTATATTATTAGAAAAGGTATTTTCCAAATAGTATTATATTTGTTTTTAAAATAGTTAACCTTTGTTGATGTCATTACCATTATTTCAATATGAGTGTTCTCAGAGCAAAAGGTATTCAACGAATGTTTTGAGTTACTATTATGAATATATATATTATATTTTAATAGTTAAAATATTGAGTAAGTCAAAGATTAATACAAGATAGGTAACTCTGTCTAAATTTAAATGAAAATTGCTAACCATTTCTGTTCTAGCTAGCAATCGAGGCAATGTGTAAATACTGTTAAATCTGTTCATAATTAAGCTAGTTTTAAGCAAAAAGTATTCTTCCTTGTGGACCAAAAGGAACCCGTTTTGCACAAAACCTAGTACAATAAACTTCCTTACATCTTACTCAAATATGTTTTTTTTTTTGGGGTACAAGAAAACACAAGCTGGTCTATCGCTCAACATTTATTTCGAACAGGAACTTATAACTAGTCGCATAATGGTTACACGTATATATATATAGTTGTATTTTTGGGTTCATTATGCTACAGCAGTTGGTAATAAGCATAACACTGCGGTAACCAAGACATAGGCTGAAAATCCCGATATGAGACATATGTACATATTTGAGGGATTACCAAATCCGTAAGTAAGTTAACTATCCTAGAGATGCACAACAAAAAAAAAAAAAAAAAAACAACAAAAACAGAGACTAGATGGAACAGAGGGGATAACAAAGCGAGGCGGCATTTGTCCTGGACAGTTGCCCCCTAACAATATGGTTTCATGTGGCTTAGGCCCACACCCGGATGGTGTAGTCCCAACTGCCGGTGGATAGAGCGGTGCCATCCGGTGAGACCTGGACGCAGGACACCTTGTTCTCATGCCCGTAGAGCAGGCAAACCCTCTCCGACTTCAGAGTGTCCCACAAGTTGACGGTGTAATCGTTGTAGCCAGCGAAGAGCAGCCTGCCACTGACCGAAAAGTCCACCGAGTTGACGCCAAAGATGATGCTCTCCTTGGCGAAGACGGCCACCTCGCGATCCGCTCGCATATCGTACAGCCGGCAGCTGCTGTCGTCGGATCCTGTGGCAATGGCATCTCCACATGGATGGAACTTAACGCTATTCACATCCGATTGGTGGCCCTCGAAGGACTGAACCACATGCCCGGAACGCATGTCCCAGATGAAGGCCATGCGGTCGCAGCTGCCGGAGACGAAGGTGTTGCCCGTCTCGTTGGGGGCCAGATCGATGGCCATCACATCGCCGGAATGGCCGTGAAAGCTCTGCAGCAGCTGGCCCGACTCCACGTCCCACAGGGCGCATGTGGAATCGCCGCTGCCGGTGAGGATCTGCTGATCCGAATTCGGGTAAATGCAGCACGACATGTAGCTGGTGTGCGTGCCCACCGTTCGCTTCTTGGCGGCCATCTCCTCATCCGAGGTGATGGGATACACGGTGACCTTGTTGTCCAGTCCGCCGCAGGCCACAAAGTTGCCCGACGGTGCATAGGCACAGGCCATGATCCAGGTGGTGGGCATGGTGACGGCGTGCTCCTTGTTCGTGGTGAACGCATCCCAGATGATCAGCCTGCCGTCCTGCGAGGAGGAGATGATGTGACGCTTGTCGGGACTCCAGTCGGTGCACAGGACCTTCGCCTGGTGGCCCTTGAGCACCTTGCGCGGCTTGATGTTCACATAGGCGATCTGCTCCAGCCGCTCCGCAATATTGGATAGATTCACATCGTTCAGCTTCTGGCGCTCCTCCTCCAGTTTGGTCTTCAGGTTCTCCGCCTCACGCACCAAACTGGCCATTTTCTCGCTGGCATTTGCGTTCGCATTGCTCGCTGGCACCGCCGCCTCCGACATGGTCGCTCTCTGGGATCTCTAGGATCTTCGGTTGTCCTATCTCTCGGGGATTTCGTGTCCTGACTTCCCCGATTGGATTGGACAGCGAAAAATCAATGGATGGGTTTGTCGAAAAAAAGTGTATACTGGAATGCGAAATTTGGAATACACAACGGCGGCCGGTTATCGATAACTTTTACCGTTGTTTCTATGTACGGAATGTACCGTTACTTTTAACAAAATCAAATATTTATATTTATGTATGACTAATCGATAAAATAAGGAAATGTACTTTTATTATGGTAATACTTAATTCTTATGTATTTTCTGATCAGCATTTGAATTTAAGAAATTTTTAATGTCTATAAAGCCCGATACATTGTTCATATATAAACCTGAATTTATGTAGAGAAAAATTATAGATCTTTGCTAACAATAATTTAAGTGCGAAATATATATAAATGTCAATATAATAATATATTCAGATTTGGGATATCGAATCGGTGTAAATCTCATTTTGAAAATGGCGCCAATTTTCAAGAAAGTTTAACCATCACCCATCGTTAGCTAACACTGGCCCATCAGCTGATATCTTTAATTTTGAAAAAAAAAGCGACGCCGATGAGAGGAACACTTTAACGCCGGAGGAGCAAGTAATCCGCATCCGCTAGGCCAGCCCAGTGACCACCAGCAGCCCGCGATGATCAAGCTGCAGCCACCGCCGGATGTGGCCGGTGGCTACCACAATTTCCGGTGCGGCGAGGTCCTCTTCAGCGCTCCCGCCTCCTTCGACATTTGCTGCTCGCTGTGCGACCAGCGTTTGGCTTGGGACACCTTCCCGGAGCATTTCCGGACAAAGCACCTTGCCGGCAGTGGCCCCCAGGAGTCCACCAAGCTGGAGAGCGATCCCATTGCCCAGGACTCTAGCGAATCGCAGGGCAAGGAGCAAGAGTTTGTGGAGGAGCCAAACCAGGACACGGAGGAGCCTCACCAGCGGGCGGCGGCCATGAAGAACACCCTGGTGGAGACCCAGGAGGATTTGCTGGACATAGATCTCGACTGGACGGCTGGCGAGCAGCCTGAGAATGATGAAGCCCACGAGGACGAGGAGGAGTCTGATGAGGATGACTCGACTCATCGCAGCAATGACACTAAGGACATGCTTTTCCAGTGCGATCAGTGCGACCGGGCGTACAACACCAAGCGCAGCCTGCAGAGCCATCGCCGGCTGAAGCACAACGACGATGCCTCCGTCTCCGGAGGAGGAGTCCCGGATACAGCCAGCAGCGAGCGCAAGGGCAAGACGCGGCGGAAAGGTCCTCCGAAGGTGTACAAATGCCACGAGGAGGCCTGCAACCAGACGTTTCGCACGGAACGCGATCTGCGTGGCCACCGCTGGAAGCACACGGGCATCTTCTGCGACATCTGCGGCAAACCCTTCACCCAGTCGGGCAACATGATGCGCCACCGCCAGCGGCACAGTGGCATCAAGCCGCATAAGTGTCCGGAATGCGAGGCGACCTTCTACACGCAAAAGGAGCTGTCCTCGCACAGTATCTGCCATACGGGCCGAATGCCCTGCATTTGCGAGGTGTGCGGACGACCTTGCCGGGATCGGGGCGTCCTCACCGCCCACATGCGTCGTCACACAGGCGAAAGACCGGCCAAATGCGAGGTCTGCGGCAAGGCCTTCTACAGTTTCCACGACCTCAATGTCCATGCCGTTTCGCACACCAATTTGCGACCATTCGTCTGCGACGTTTGCGGTTCCACGTTCCAGCGCAAGAAGGCGCTGCGGGTGCACAAGCTCCTTCACTCGGAGCAGCGCAAATATGCCTGCAAGCTGTGCGGCAAGACCTTCGCCCAATCCGGCGGCCTCAATGCCCACATGCGCAGCCACGATCCGGCGAGGGTTAAGGGAGCTGTGAAGCCCCTTCCCCAGGCGGTCACCATCGAGGTGGTCGAGGGCCGGACGCCGCCCACCACCACCATCACCATGGCCATCGACCTCAATGTGGAGGAGCAGCTGGTGACGCAAACCGAAACGGCTCCCGCCACTTGGCGACTGGCTAACTGAGTAGCTGCTGGTTGGCATCAGGGATTGATTAAGTTAAGCACAAGCAAAAAAAAAAGCGCCATAACAAACATAAGAAATGTTTTAGTTCTCAAGTTAATTCGGTATAGTTTTTAAAATACCAATAGAAACTGTAAAACCAATAAGTTGTTAAGTAGCAGACCTAGAATAAATTCATAGAAATTAAAAGAACCCACTGTATATATAAAATTGACAACCTATTTTTGATCTCTTCCAATGTATTCCTGACTATTTAAACCAAGTAAGAAGTATATTCAACGTTTAGGATGGCTTCCGATATTCAGGATTTTGGGAAAACCAAGAGTCATTAAGATCGATATGGAATATTTAATATCCTGCAGTTTCTGGCCGCACGGAAACGACATCCCAGTCGGCTACTACCACTACACGCCCGCCAATCCCAGCCAGCCGCAGAGATGTGGATGACCATCCGGTCATCACACTTTGATGTCCACCGCCCAACCAAGTAGGTGGCAATCGGATTTTAGCTACGATTTTTTAAACATTCAGTTGAACTTAACTTCAAAATTATTTTAGGTCAACTATGATAAGATCTATCTAATTAAAACTATGAGCACCTAATAGTGTGCGCAAGGAGACTACTTTAGTATTTTAGCTTAACTCTATGAGTTCGAGTTCGCTTTAAATGATTTTAAAGATTTATTTAAGCTTAACCAAAAGACTATACTAATATTATTTTTAGTTAGCTGAATTCCAAATTAAATAAATGACTTCTTAGTTTTATATAAATTAATACATTTGCAAAAACTTTTTAAAAATTTTTAAATAATAAAAAATAGAGTGAGTTGCGCCAGGTGACGGGAATCTTTACCTTCAAAACCAATCCACATTCGCCTTTTGGACTTCCACTGGCTTACAGTACATAAAAGCATTCCCCGATTGGCGGTACAAAAGTGTCCTTTATTGGGGATGTTGATTCCTAAGCGGAGAAGAGTCTATCCTGTCGGGAATCGGAACCCAGATAAAACAGCTCTTGCGTTCTACCCGAGATTCTTAGGTCTAAACATTAGTACATATCGTTATGATCTACTATTAAATATATATATATTGGGGTTAAAATAATACATACAGCCTTTTTCTTATTCCAAACTAATTTTGAGTTTATAAACAGAGGCATATTACGTTTAAAGTAAAAAGTTATTTTCTAGCTCCTTCGTTGTTTAGAAAAGGTACATATTTTTAGACTCGTAATTAGTTTTTCAAAACCATAAACTGAGAAATGTAAGCCTACCGTAAATATAAATGGAATTTTAAGTAAACTAGGCAAAAAAAATATTAAACATTTTGCTAAATGGACGTACTCAGTTATTAATAGCTAAAATCAATCAAATTGATGGGAATGTTTTGAAAACTAAAGATTAATATAGTGTTTAAATGCACTGAGATAAGGAAACTCGGGGAAATCTAAGCACGATTACAATCTCTAATTATTGGCCCAATTTCCCCGGCCTTTTACGTGATGTACAATGACATTTGATTGCTACACAAAAAGTAATTGATAACTAGTGAAAAAAAGTGAGAATAAGATACAGTTCTAGGATAGATAATATCGATTAGTATTGGAATATCATTGCAATTGCTCAATGTGATGCCGGCTAGACGTTGACTATTAGCGGTCGCTTGTATACTATATATATAGGTATATATAAAATATATACGTGTAAGCTATTGGTTATTGCATATTGTACGTTGGCGTACGTGTTCACTAAAGTGGATCGACTATTTCCACACAAATCGCAGGGTCGCATTGTTATCTACTATAGTTTTGATTAATTTCGCCTTGGCAATAATGGGTCAACTATAAGCTTAGTACTCTTCACAAAGGGCATTTACCATTTTCATTGTTTTTAAATATGAAATTCAAGTAGTTTTAGCAAACTTTAAGTATTTAAATGATAAAAAGAATGACTTTTCAACCTAATTCATCGATTTCTTTCCCAACTTGCTGAGATTACCTGTAGGGCCCTACGATTTGCTCCACCTTGGTGTAAACGTAACTCAATCGGAAGACTTTACTGCCACCCCAGTTTCCGGTGTGCTCGTCCGATCTCACACAATATTGATCTCGATCTTGATGAGCAGCCGATCGTCGGCGCAGAATCCCAGCTGAATGATGTTCGATATGTTGGCATACTCCAGGAAGCCGAATCCTCGCGTGCAGATCGCCTCGCGTGGCTGATAGAAAGCCATGATCTCCGGCTTGGTCATGATGGTGTCGTGCTGCGACAGCGTCGCATCCGCCGGATGGACCATGCACAGCTTGATGCGTCCCTTGAAGGGCCAGTCCAAGTGGTAGTCGTTCTCCGACTGCATCAGATGCACATGCAAGCTGAGCACATGTGGCTTCCGCGGCTGGATGTTCAGCCGGGCACAGAACTTGTAGCCATGCGGCGAGGTGTAGCACTCGTGCGAGTACACCTGGTTGTTGGCATTGGCCCGCAGGCGGGCCACCAGGGCGCCCAGTTGCTCGATGCGCCACACAATCGTGCCGTTGCTGTAGCGCGGATCCACGGGCGCCTGCTGTTGGCGGGCCAGTCGCAGCTGCTTCTGCATGTTCTCCAGCCGGGTCTCCTGCTCGCGGGTCCTCTGCTCCAGCACCACAATCCGCTGGTACATGGTCTGCACAATCTGCTCGTCCACACCATTGGCATATTGCGGCGGTGGGGGCAGCTGTCCATGTCCATGTCCGTTCTCCATGGCGGTGCTACTGGTGCTGGGCTTGTGCGGCTGCCAGGTGGCAATGGCCGTTTGCTGGAAGGCCTGCAGCATGAGCTGCATATGGTGCGGCATGTCCGCCTTGAGGTGCTCCTCCAACTGATTCGTCTCCGGGCGACCCACAAAGTCGCACTTGATCTTGGCAAACGGGCACTTCTCCTCCTGCGGCTCCTGCTGCCGCCGATAGGGGCAGCTGGGCAGGTGGCGGTGCAGTTCGATGGGCGAGGCCACCACCGAGCAGCCCAGCGAGGAATTGGGGCAGTCCCGCTTCAGTTGCTCGATCTCGCGGCGCGTGTAGTTGTCGGGAAATATGTCGTGCTCGGCGGACAGCCGCTTGTTGTCCATGGGGCAGCACTGGTTGTTCTTCTGCATCCAGGCGGACAGACAGCTGCGGCAGAAGCGATGCCCGCAGGACGTGAGCACCGGCTCGTTCAGCCAATCGATGCAGATGGCGCATTCGTAGCGCGAGTCCAGCAGCTCCTCCTCCTGTTCCCCGGAGGTGTCCGAACCGGGTGCGTAGTGGTGGTGATGCTGGTGCTGGTGATTCTGGTTCAGGGCCAGACTCTTGGGCGGAGTGGGTGCTCCACTGGCTCCTCCTCCGCCGCCGCCCGCTGCCCCGGTGGGCGTGGCACTGCTGCTGGCCGCCACCCGAGCACTGGATGTTGTTGTTGTGGTCATTTCATTGCTATTGTCCTCTTTCTCCACCGAGTGCTGCAAATCGGTGTGGGAATGCATCCTGGCTGCCTTCTGGTCCGCCTGGCCACGCTGCATCCTTGCTGCTCCTCTGGCCACGGGCTAGCAATCGATTTAAAGGAGACTAACACTAATTCAATGCTAAAAAGCAATTTTTTTGCTCATGACTTGTCTCCTTGGAACAGCTGCGTGTCGTTGGCCGTTGTGCAACACTGGCTGGGCGTGACCAACACACATGTTCACACTGCACGGGCGTCACTTTCGATAGGCAGAAAGCTTTTTAAGATAATTTTTATTACGTTTGTTTCAGCGGAAAATTAACAAAATTCTTAAAGCGAATGACAAACGATTGACGAATTCAACGAGTTATTGAGGCAATGATTATAAAATGCCAAACTCTACATATTTTTGTTTGTGTTTTTGGACATAAAAACAACATTCGTTATGGGTGTTTCAAAATCTCCAATACCTATCGACCCATTTGCATCCCACTGCGAAATGCATGGCAGTGTGAACGCGTCCGTTTCGGCTTGGCGGCGGTGGGCGAGCATATAAAACGGCAGTGTTTTCAGATTGGCGAGCAATCAGTTACGGAAACCGGGCGCTGAAGTTGAATTAAAAGCAGCAGACACAATGTGGATCCCTAGCCAAAGCACAAGCACTATCTGCGCACTGATGCCACTGCTGATTTTGGCAACCTGGCAGCTGTGCGTTCTTCCCGGGACGGATGCCAAGCACTTGGCCGCCAGATCGCACGACCCCGAAACGGAATTCCAATCCCATAACAGTGACGTCGTACCCGCCCCTCCCGCCTCTGCTGCAGTGCGTCGGAAGCGACAGCTCTCCGATTGGCTTATTGCGCCCAACACGCGGTGGTGCGGACGCGGCAACCTGGCCAATGGAACCTACAACGATCTGGGCGGCGCCTCCAAGGCGGACAAGTGCTGCCGGAAGCATGATCACTGCAAGATGTGGATCGACGGGATGTCCAATCGCTACGATCTCTTCAACTACCGACCCTACACCCTATCGCACTGCAATTGCGATCTGCGCTTCCGCACCTGCCTGAAGATGGCCGGCGACGAGGATGCGAACGCCATTGGCAAGCTGTTCTTCAATGTCGTCCAGACGCAGTGCTTCGGCTTGAAGTCTGAGACCGTGTGCATCCAGCGTGGAGGCTCTGGCAAGGAAGGCGATCCCTGCCTGAAGGAGGAGGTGCGCCACAAGGCCTTTCTGCGCAACAACAAGCGGTTCTAAAGAGGACTAGGTGGGTAAATATTTGGTATAATCCCTTTGCACATAAATGGCCTTCAAATTGTATAGTACTAGTTATCCAAATTTATGATATAATAGGAAAATTATTGACTGTAAAACATCGTACTCAAAAATAAGACTATTCCAGTAAATTCTAGACCCTTATCATCCCGAACTTGTATATCTCTCAATACTAAAACATTCTTATTATTTTGAAAACAGTTTATCTTGCTATAAATTCTTGAATTCATCCTAAATTTGTTGTATATTTCTAGAGTATGTTATTCAGAAATGTGCTTATCTTACTAATGTCTAAAAGCTATTAATCATATATTTCTGAGCATTAAAATAAGTAAGATGTGTTTTTTAGAATTGTCAGACCCTTTAAATCATTCTTAGTTGGCTGAAGTTGTAAATGAATCTTATGAGTTTTTTAATTTGATAAATATCTCAAGCAGAATACATTCTATATATTCTAGAAGTCTAAAACTGATAGTTATTTAAGTAGGAAAAATGTCGTCTTCATATTAATCAAATTTTTGAAATGTTCTCTGAGACATATTTAAACATATATATCATCCCTAGAGTTCGCATTAAGTTTTAAAGTCATATAAATAAATAAAAAAAACATTTAATAAATACAAAAAACGAAATAGCAAAACCATAGACTGTTTAACTATGATAGTGCCATTTATTATGATCAACTTAAATTTAAGACGAAAGCATCGACAATCCAAATATAACATGTTTTCATGTGCAATATTTCCAGTTAGCTCACAATGACCGGCAGGAATTGGAGTATCCCAAAGCCACCTGCCCGTATATGAAGCCTATGAACGAACAAACCGCCCCAGAGTGCTGCAATTAAGTTTGAAACTTAATGGGAAGGCATGGCAAAACACCATCATCATGCGTACTTAGAGGAGGAGAGATAGCCAGAGACACCCGTCTATGTATTAAGCTATATACATATATACCTAAATATGTATAGGACTTTCAAGTGCTAAAATAATGCGTAGTAGTCGGTACGATATACACTTAGTTGTAGTCAATCAATCTAGTTAAGGCCGACGGATCAAATATAGGCTGCCAGAAAACAAAGTTTTTAACTAGCTGTAGAGACCCCTATAATATAGTATATACCCTATAATCAATATATGTGATTAGTTGTAGACGTAGTAACTTAATAAAAGGAATTTCCAAAGAACAAAATTCCCCGAGTTGTGTGTGTTTTTTGTCTGTCCGTAAACCGAACTCCGTAATCCGGCAAATCCGTTGTGGAATGTCGTACTTTGCACCGGGCTATCGGTATCAGCATCCATCCGTAGTCTACATAGTATACGTGTATGTCTGGACTGTGATCGTCGCATTGACGTAGCTGTTGCCCCTTAATATACTAAATATGATGACCAGGCGACCCCTGATTCGCTTGCCCGACTCTCAATTGGCCACCACTTGGTCTTCTGGGTCACAGTGGGATGCGTCATGGCTGCGTGTGGATGGATCTCAAATATAAGCCACTCGAAGGTCTGGATCGAGAAGGATCCATAGTCTGGTCAAAGTCCAAAGTCTTGGTCAAGTAACTCATCGAGCTTCCAAACAATAAAATATTTTTAAAAACTGATACGTATTTTTCAACCATAATAAATTTGGTTTACTTAAAAATATTTATATGATATTACGTCATGTTGTTTTTACAGATATTAAAAGCTAATATATTGATATGACGATTTGATATTTTTTTATGGTATAATATTTTTTAGATTGAATTTATAAGCCTAATCGAAATTATAGTACCAAAATTTAACACTCCATAATGTCAATAAATATTAAAAAAACTTCAAATATAAAATATTTAAATTAATCAGTTATTTTTTTAAATATAAGCCACTCAAAAGTCTAGATCGAGAAGGATCCATAGTCTGGTCAAGGTCCAAATTTTTGTCAGTTATTTCACCTCACCTCAATTCAGCTCATAAAAAGCATTAAAGTAATAAATTAAATTATTTAATCCACAAATAAAATATAAAATAATAAAATTGCCTATAGTTTCATATCAATTATTCTTGTAGTGTAGTTTTAGCATGCAAATATTTAGTTCTCATCAATACGCAAATACAACGCACTAGGAGGTCTAGTTCAAAAAGAATCGAGAACCACAATCAGAATCGGAGTCTGACGCAATTAAATAGGTATATAATTACGTATTTGTATTATTATTATTTACTATTGATTGTTTTGCATTAGTTGTAATTACAACAGAGGGGCCCGTCTGTTTTGTGGCTTGTAAAGTACTCGTACTCGTACTCGTAAATACTTCCTGCCAGTTGACTTCAATGTCATCACATTATAATCGCCGTTTTTGATTTTGCCCGGAGACTCAGATTTCAACACGTTGTAATTGTAATCTGAACACTACGCTTATACGCACTCATTGCATTTCGATTTTTGTCTGCGTAAGCGCTTTGTTGTGTTGATTTCGCAAATAATTACATCACAAAAACAATTGCACACTTATTTGCAAATAGAAAGTTATATTTTTAACAAATAAATTCTGTTCACTTGCAAATAAACATGTTCTATATATTTATTATTGGTTTATAAACTGTAAGCGTCATAAAGGCGTCTGTAAATAAAAGCCGTTATATTTTTGGAACAATAAATAATTAAAACAAATTTTGAAATCATACAACCATCAAGTTTATAAGCAAATAATTATGTCATACAAAATTATTGCTTATTAGCAGTCATATTCCTTAACAAATAAATTCTGTGGATTTGCAGATAAACACATTATATATAAAACAAAGTTAGCATTCTTTACTTAACTTTTAAATTTTGTATAATTTTTTAAAAACTTGTGTGAATGAGTTGTTTAGTCGTGGCTTTTCCAGTTCGAATTTTGGATCACCCACCATCACTCAACATTTAATCAGAGTAGCTTCCAGTTGGGTTTTTATTTTCGAAACTACAACCGCTTTGTCAAAATTGTGAAGAGTTTTAAAGCGAGCTTGCAGAATCGTTGTTGAGAATTGCAGCCGGAGATGGATACGCCAGTGCCGGTGACGATGGTGCCCGTGCCCATGCCCACCAGTCTCAACCCGATCCTCAGTCCATATCGACCGCCCATTCCGAGGCCCGTTTCCAGTCCGGCCAGGACCCTGGATGCCGTTTTGGTCTCCAAGTAAGTGCACTAGCTAGTCGTTTATTCCTCTATGAAACCCCGAGATCATCCCGAACAAAAGGAAGGACAAAGTGCCATTGCCTCTGCCGCCGGCATCCTCGTGGATGCTTCCCCTTCAGCGGGAAATGTCCGAGATTCGGGAATCTCTGAGGGCACAGCCCCAAGCCAGTGACATCCGTCTGCTGATCTTTGCGTCGGCGGCCAGCAGCCAGGAGCACGAGAAGACCCTGGTGCCAGTGCCACCGCAATTCCAGGCGAGTCCAGGTGCCGGCTGTCAAGTGGATCGACTGCGTCACTCAGTGGCCGACAACTGGCCGTCGTGTCGCCTCATGTTGGACATCCTGGGCAGCGATGAGCAGTATGCCGACTTGACACCGGACGATAGGGAGGCCATTCACCTGCTGCACTGGCTCCTGGTGGCCACGCCCTCGTCGCCCACATTGCGCCGCATGTCGGGCTTGCATTTGCGAAGACTTTGTAAGGTTTTGGGTCTGGCACGACCCACCTTGGAGCCGGGTCACCTGCTCAGCATCAGCTATGAAAGCTATGAGCAGCAGGAGAGCAGGGATCATGGCATGATGATGATGGAGCACCGACCCAGTTATGCCTTCCTGGGCCTGCCCTTCAACCATTTATATCGCTTCCTGGCCACTGGCAACTTGGATCAGCCATCCGGTGAACCCATCCGTTTGTATGCCCAGCCGGAAGCGGCTTTGGTTCACTGCGAAGAGGTAGCTCCGCAGCAGGAATTACAGCAGGAGCAGAAGTCGCAGCAGGAAGCAGTCCAGTCGGAGGAGCAGCAGCAGCAGCAGCAACAGCCAGCCCAATCCTCTCCAGAAAAGGGCCACAAGCTGTGCTGGGGCAATTCCATGCTCAGTAATCAGCAAAAAGCTCTGGTGATTTGCCAACTGCCCGCCGAACTGGACGAATCCATTGCCCATTCGCCGGAGAAACACTTCCTGGAGTACTTTGTCCAGGAGTCCGTGGGCCTGAAACCCTGCTACCTGCTCCTCTTCGACGAGCCGGTGGCCGCCAAACTGATGCTCGCCTGGCCCGGCAGACGCATCGAGGTGGAGAACAAAGGTCCTTCGTTGGCACAGAGATCTCGTGCCAGAATCTTGGGATGGACGAGGTATTTGGGCCACCGATTGGGAGCCCTCAAGCGGGCTTTAGCCTAACATATGCGATACATATGATTTTAAATCTTGGCTATTGCCTAATGACTTGGCCAGGATAAGTCCTTCGTTTGAAGCCCCCCAGCTACTTAATGTTTCGATTTTTATTGTCCAATTTTAAATAAACACATATTTGGTTGACATTCAGTTTACTTTCAATTATTGCTTGAAAATGTAACCATACTTATTAGATCAATACAAAACTTTGTGCACTGATAAATAAATGGAATAGTCAACAAAATCTTCGACTATTAAAAAAAAAAAGTATTGTATAAACAACAAATAATATAGATTTAGCATTATGTGAAGTTCAATTTATTAACTACACTCAGAAAATACCCAAAAACCAAAATTGTCCTAAAAGTATCAAAATGTGCTACATTTCAGGAATAATGACCTCAAGAGCTGTCAAAATGAACAAATGAACAAATGAAAATAACCTTTAAAAGGTAAAGGGTTCTCTAAGTGTAGATAAATATGTATAAAGATATATAGGGTACTAAAGGTTTTTCTGAGTGTGTTTCGAAGTGATTGTATTATAGAATTGGTGGCCATCATAAAACTCAAATATTCAACAGGGCGTCTGAGGTGCGAGGTGGATTCCAGGTGGCTTCATGGCCTCTGGACGGGATTGGGACCACGATTGGCATGGTGCCCGGTGTACTGTGTGATATTCTCCGGCGTGTAGTCCACCACGAGTCTGTGGCGCCTGCGCTGGTACTGCGTCTGTCTCAAGTAGACACTGGCCAGTCCCTTGGCGGCCACGAAGGTCACTCCGCCCAAGAGGATGCCCAGCAGCCTGCTCTCCTCGTAGATCCCGCCGAACAGGGATCGGCCCAGGATGACGGACACGGTGGGCAGACTGAGGGCGATGCAGAAGCTCATGGAGACGCGTCCCAGGTGCTCGGAGGCCATGGCATTGCCCAGCTGCTGGTCATCAGAGCCGTCCTGCTCCTGCTCCAGCTCCAGCTCATCGAAGTAGCCATCGTCCAGGGGAGCACCGGGCAGCGGCTGACCCGCCGCGTCCAGTTGCTCGGCGGGAACAGCCTGGTGGTGCTGACGACGACAACGACGCAGCCAGCGAATGAGGGTGTCATCCCAGCGGATCATGCGACCCAGGAGCAGGACAGTTGGCACCGCCGGCAGCAGGATCATCAGCAGCGTGGGATCCTCCTGGAGCAACCGCATCCCCATCTCGTAGCCGGCCACTTGGAGCAGTGTGAGTGCTCCGTAGGTCACCGCCGAGAAGTAGACGGTGGCCGCCAGCATGCCCATCAGGATGCTGGGACACAGTCGCTCGTATCCCTTGTCCAGGTGCTCCAGCAGAGCATCGAAGCGGCACAGCGGCGGCATCACTATGATGTACTCCGTGCGGCACTGGGTGCAAGTTACCGGACCCTCTGGCGCCAGGATCTGCTTCTCGTCGATCCAGCGACTGAGGCAGGACTCGTGCACCCACTTGTTGGTGCCGCGGCAGCGACACGGATGCACCCAATCGCGGCGAGCCGACTGCTGATCCTCGTCGCCTGTCAGGCAAATCCAGCACATTCGATCGTCCTCGGGATTGGCTCCTCCTCCTCGTCGTCCGGAGGCATTGTCCACTCTGCTCCTCAAACGGCTACGTTGATTGTCGGCCAGCGGCGACTGGTCGTTTGAGCGGATTCGCCTGTGCATGGTGACCCCGAGCTCCAACTCCAAGTTCAAGGGTCTTCAAGCAGCGCAGGTTGAATTTTGTTCACGAGCCGGAAGGTTACGACTTGGATTTTGTCAGGTGACGAACAACTCATCTGAAGGTTCGTTCTACATGTGAACATGTCACTCGAAAATGAAACTGACTTTTGCTGCTATGACAT